AATGCACGAAACATCGCGATGGTTTTTGCACCGAACATGACCCAGGTGTGTGGTCGACTCACAAGTCTCAACCTATTTATTTGGTAAATCGTCGTTGTTGGTTGATATGATTGCAAGAACTCTACCCTTGGAGTAGACGATAATCTCTTTCTGTTCGACTAGCAATATCACAAATACAGGCACTCTTACGAACTAACAAGCAGTTCTCTTAATTTGTTGCAGATGGCTGATCCCTTGACTGCATTAATTCATGCTGTACAAGTAATGAACTTGTTAAAGGTCCTTATTCTTGAGATCCTCCAAGGGAGGAAAGAATCAGAGGCCAACCAGCAGTCCTCTTGCTTGGATCCTCCCCACCACAATACTAACACAAAATCTTCAAACTCAACCATTGGTGAATCCTCCACGAAACAGCCAAATGCTATTGTTTCCACTGCAAGCGATAATGCAAGATGTAACAGTTTAGATAGAGTTGACTACACTTATGGAGGAAAGAAGTATGAAAGCTTTGAAGAGAAAGAAGAAGAAGAAGAGCAATACCATTCAGCTTCTGGAAGCACTCCAACCAGATATGGATGTGAAACAAGTGAGTGGCTAAGTTTGAGAAAAGGGGTGAGGAAGCTATGCAGGCACCCTGTATTTCAGCTGAGTAAATCAACTAAGAAGAGTAGAAGTTTAGGAGTTGTAACATGTATGTACTAGGAAAGTCCTGACTGCTAAGGAAGGGTTCACATATTGCATAGGCTTTGCTGGGATTTGTGTAAACAGATGTAATGAAACAGATGAGTGTGTGTTTGATTTTAACTGGTTGGAATTGGATAAATGTCTTAAACAGATGTAATGAAACAGATGAGTGTGTGTTTGATTTTAACTGGTTGGAATTGGATAAATGTCTCCTGTAACAAGCGAGTGGTTTAGAGCTCTATAGGAAGGAAAACTAGAAACTACATTTACAGTCTTTTTTTCTCTCGAAATTGTGGAATCATTGTTGAACAACTTTCCATTGCATTCAAAAGTTTGAAGTCTTTTTTTCTCTCGAAATTGTGGAATCATTGTTGAACAACTTTCCATTGCATTCAAAAGTTTGAAGTCAGTTGAAGAACAGACTGCTAGAAAACCTGAAGTATATTCTAAAATCCTACCGATCCTTAGAAAGTTGTTTACAAAATGGGATAAAAGTGGAACTGATCTCTACCAGTCCACCACTGCCTCTTCAAACTACGTTTGCCTTCTATTACCAAGTATGGAATTCAACTGCATGCCAAGACTCTAACAACACGAATTACCTAGACATTTTGCTTAAACTAAAACTGAGAACTTTGGGTTCTTCGCTCAATCTACTAATATCACCAGAGCATGGAAGTTCTACCGTACGAAGCACCTACTATTAACAGCCACATGTGAATGCGGAAACAGCCGTCAGGCTAAGTTACTTAGTTTCCTCTCCATCGCCACCCCGACCAGCAGCTGAGCTCCCCTGGCCATCAGCACCTCCCACATCACCAGAGTCCTGCTTGCCACCTCCACGGGCATCGGTTTGCCCGGAACTTCGAGCAGGCCCTCCAGCACCAGCACCCCCAAGGGTCCCCTCGGGATGATGTGGGTGATGCATGCCATTGTTGGCCCCTCCCATAGGTCTTAGTCCCATTTGCCCTTGCATTGCTTGCTGGTGTTGCTGGTGTATCTGCTGTTGTGGATCCTGTAATTGATGAGGGTTTCCGAACTGCAATGGAACTTTTGGAGGGAAAAGTCCTGATTGCTGTGCCATTATAGCTGCCTGAGGGTGCTGCATATAATAACCCCCTTGCTGCATTGCAGGATGTGGAGCCATCTGACCATTCTAGCACAGGTAAGAACGACGTACAATACAACATCAATTTAGGGGAAGCAGAGGCCTAATTAATTACCCACCTGTGGAGGCATAGCTGGTGCCTGTGGCTGGGCATCAGCAATTGCAGCTAAATACATCAAATTCTTCTGAAGTTGGGCTTGGTACCTAATTACGAGAATTGTATTAACTCAAGTAATGGAACTCAAGTAAATCGAAAGCCATGTAAACATGGGGACAAAATGGAACTCAAGTAAAATGCATGTAGGGAAATCGAAAGCCATGTAAGACAAACAGTTTTAGAAAATACAACACTTTAGCAGTCCATATAAACACAAAGGCACAAGATTGCATAACAAAGGATGCAAATGATGTAAACCTATCAAAAATTAAAAAGGATTGTACCGTACTTGACTCAAAATATTCACAAATGTACTACCTTATATCAATTCTGAAGCACATATTTGATCTCATTTTAGATAATAAACGCATACTTGACCGGAACAAAGACCATTTCATTAATATGTGAAATAGATTGCAAAAGAGAGTTCAGTCTGTGAAATGCAAACTCGATCTAGATACCTAACTAAAAAATGCAGCAATAGAAGCAAGATTTATAGTGTAGAAAGCCAGCACCCAGAGACCCCTCAGCTCATGAATTTCAAGATTCATAATCCTTACTTTCAAATAACATGCAAGGTAAATGTGAGATCCCACATCGGTTGGAGAGAAGAACGAAACATTCTTTATAAGGGTATAGAAACCTCTCCCTAGCAGACGCGTTTAAAAAACCTTGAGGGAAAGCCCGAAAGGGAAAGCCCAAAGAGGACAATATCTGTTAGTAGTAGGCTTGGGCCATTACAAATGGTATCAAAACCAGACACTGGACAATGTGCTAGCTAGAGACAAAACCCCAAAGGGGAATGGACACGAGACAGTGTGCCAGAAATGATGTTGGGCCTTGAAGGGGGGTGGATTGGGGTCCCACGTCGATGGAGAATGGAACAAGTGCCAACAAGGAAGCTAGACCCCGAAGGGGGTGGATTGTGAGATCCCACATCGGTTGAGGAGGAGAACGAAACATTCTTTATAAGAGGTGGAAACCTTCCCCTAGCATATGTGTTTTAAAAATCTTGAGGGGAAACCTGGAAGGGAAAGCCCCAAAAGGACAATATCTGTTAGCTATGGGATTGGGCCGTACCAGTAAATCAACTACTTATATACATGACACAAACCACTTTGAACTATATGTTTTTAGTACCACAGAAAATTTACATCAAATCAATGCAACAACTTCATGGACTCCATAAACAAAGGTAGAAGCGCATATAGAGAGAATCACAACCATCCACGACAACTTACTGAGCACATTCGTTTAGTTTCCCCAGATTTTGGTTGTCAAGTATGGCCAATATCAACTTTTTGTTCTCATCCAGATACTGCACGCAGTAAAAAGTAATCGTTGTTCATAACTTTAACTCAAACATGATAACAAGGATCTGATCTTGAGCACTTAAACTAAATCCATATTAGTTTATTCAGTTAAATATATTGATTCCAAATTACCTTGTCATTATCAATTCTCAATTGAAGACATTAGTCCATCATGGCACATTTCAATTAAGCAAGAACAATAACCACTTGCCCTAATTAACAAGAGATGAATAATAATACAAGCTCATAAAAAAAGAAGAATGAGTGAACCGACATATGTTCCCCCCATGTTCCTCTAATGAAAAAAAAAAAAAATCAACTGCAAACCTAGAGATTCAGATAGTCTGTGAAAAGGGTTAAAAAATAATTATATAATGGTCTCCAACTACTGCAACATCCCTAAAATAATACTCCCATCAAGGGGCCTACTTTACTTGCTTCTTTCCGTCTGCAAACATCCAGTAATTAAAGGAGTCATTCATGTAAGAGCTATTAACTTATGAAGAACAAAAGCAGTTGCATTTCAAAATCACATCGACGGCGATAAACAGAGCTCCATCAAATCAAACACATCATAAATAAGCGTTTAAGATTTAAAGAAGAAAGAGAAAGAGAAGGAGAATGCCTTTTGAATCTGCTCGGAAGTGATATTGGTGGGGGGAAATGAAGGCATCATCGGCATCATTTGCGGTGGTTGCTGCATCTTTAGCTTTCCTGAATATAAACCCTAGCCCTAACTCTCGGAAAAGAAATTTCCAAAGTCAACAGAGATTGAGAAGAGAAGGGGGAAAAACAGAGGAAGACCGAAAGGCAAGAAGAGAGAAAGAACCTGTTAACCGTTCAAAAGGAAGCTCCTTGAGATCGGATTCGGGGGAAAATCTCCGGTACGGCGCTCGGATGTTCAAAGAAAGGAAGGACGGGAGGAAGAAGAAAGAAAAATACCACAAAAACAAATGGGGAAAAGTGTGAATAGGACAAGAAAATTAAATAATAAAATTACAAAAATTATGTCATAATTTCAATTTTGTGCAATTTAAACTTAATTATTATTGCTTGGATTTTAGGGGTTGTTTGTTCCCTTTAATTAATTAACTAATTCATGTTAATTTACCAAAATTAATATATTTAATATAAATAGAAGTTTATTAAAGGAATGAAATTTAAAATTATCAGCTAATAATATTTTAGATGTAATTAACTCATTAATTTGTGTCAGTCAAATGTTGAATTGGATTGGATGATGCATCCTCTACTTGATCGCATCAGGACATTTGTCTATTTGGACCCTTATTTAATCGGTTGGGCACCACTTCTATGTTGTCACCTTATCTGTTTATAAATGAGGGTCACAACCCACCATTTTCTTGTATGTACCTATCATATCATCTTTTCAGATTGGAATATTCAAGTGTTTGTTCGTACCACCTATCGCGAGTTAGAATAATAAACTGTCTGCCTTGTGAACATTAACTATTTGTTCACCACCATTTCAATCTAGAACGATAAACTGCTTGTATTTACCAGCCTCCTCAGGTTGGAACATTATAAGACCATGACTCTTCATTAAGCACGATCAAATTGTTAGTTCATGATCCAAGGTTTACACTCTAATTGTTCCTACAAAAGACCGAGTTAACCCAATGTTGGGTGGAATCCAATACTCAGTTCTAGAACCATAACGATGCACAACAGACGTTGTAGAGCTCATAATATTAACCCAAGTAGCACAAATAGCTCAATTAGGCTTAGCTATCATTTAGCTAATTTCCCCAATTTTAAGCTCATCAAGTCATCAGCGTCTTCAGCTTCCCGTTAAACTTGAGGATGGCTTCAATTTCTTCCCGCTGGCGGGGGCTCTGCAAATCTCGTCGGAACTTCATTTCCAAAACGCATTTGAATTCTTCTCTCATTCCTTCAGAGAAATTCTTCGCTATTGCCGATCAAGGGACGGAGTTGTTAAATCTGGCGTCCGATATAGGGAAGCGACTTTTCGTCCCAAGAAGCAGAAGATCTGCTCCGATTGTTCCGATTATCCGGCTTGGTCGGAAATTCAATTAAAGAATGGAAGTCATCAATTCCTTTAGATTCCTTGGCTACTTCATGAATGTTGTCCTACTATACGGTTCTAGAGATCACATGGAGCGCCCCAAATTACTCACGGGTTGCTTTAACTTCTTCCGGTTCTCCATCATCACTATATTTTATATTATGGTACTGATTCTGCTCATTTTGAATTTTTGGGTTACTGAACTTGAATTCCGATTTCATTTTGAGCGATTAACTTTAAACGAGGCCAATCACCTCAGAATTGAAATTTACGAGCTGTTGAATTTTGTCGTGCATAAGTTAGATATGGAGAGTAGTTGTATTCGCCAGGGTAATAGATTGTTCATTGATGTCACATTTAACTCCTTAAAGATGGTTAATATGGTTATTTATTGTTTTGTAAGCTTCTCTGAAGAAGATCGATATAGTCTTTCAAGCTCTCCTATGTTGTGATTTCTTTCCAAGATGTTTACGATAACTGAAAGTTCAAAATCTTTTATCTTACCATGTTAAGTAAAATAAATTTCTTTCAGATTAACCTACTTGCCCCCTGCTCCCCGTAAGCTTTACACATTCTTGGTGACAACAATGGATACGCTTGTTTTGCTGCCTAGTTTTATCGAAGTTCTTGATGAAGCTAAGAGTCTCTCTAGTTCTCCTGCCAATCTTGTGATCATTTTTTTAGTTCTTGGTAAGAAGCTCAGCTGGTTTGTAGTTTACGTTTCTATAAAATTGAACTTACCCTTTGATTTTCCAATACTTTTATGTGTTTGCACTTTGATCCAGTTCTTAATCTAGCCTTTGCACTCAAGTCTTTTTTGGTTCGTAGTTATGCATGCATCTCCCCTGATGAGCAATCCAGCATCAATTGAGGTAATGAACTTGAAGTCTTCACTTGCCTTTTATTTGTCTTCAATGTTCTGCTTTAGATTGGATTATCAATTTCCGTTCCTCAAGGTTCCTGCTGCTGATTGTTGCCTTAACCTCACTTATTCCTCAAATTCACTGTTTTATTAGTCTTTTCCCACAAGTGCAAGCTATCCTTTAGTTGGTGGAATTAGAGTAGCTGGATTATTTGCCACAGATAAGATAAAAATCATTCTTATAATACATTCGTTCAAACGTGCAATTTGACCATTGTAGTCTCAAATTTAAACAAACCATTATAGCAATTCAGTCGTTAATTATTGAGACCTCAATGCCATATTTAGCTCTTAATGTGATCATTCACTATTGCATTTTCGGGTTCACGAGTTGAGAAGAGCCGTTCAATGGAAGTATGACCTAGGCAAGAAAAAAAAATTATGAGGCGGTAATACTCCTTTGCATATGCCATCTTGTCCTATGAATAGGGAGAAGGAAAAAAAACACTACAATTTTATTCAGGGATAATATTTGAATTTAATGCTTCTGAATGCCTTTATTGCATCTTCTCGTGGAAATTTATCTCCCTATGTGGTATTATGACAGAAGCTAGTCTCATGTCTATCTATATCGTTCCCAGAGTTTATGCTATATTCTTTTTTTAGTCGTTCTGCACTGAGATGAGGAGTCATTTCCGAACATGCACCAGTTTTTTCACATATAGGAGCCTTTAATAATCTCATGAAATCTTCTTCTTCTTTTTTTTTTTTTTCTTTTTTTGTTCCTCGTAACTATGCTTAAACATGAAAGGCATTGCGTGTACTGATATTCATGTCTTGGGGGAACCAGAGTAATGTAGTTATTTTATGAACAATGATGCTTTTCTTTTTGAGTGATAACAATTTGTCAGCAAAAAATTTAAAAAAATTAAATAAAAAGTTAGTAAGCAACTGAATAAGAAAGTTGTGTACCGGTGATTGCGAATTCTTCTTGATTTAAAATTCCATTCAGTTTTCCAAGACCTTATTTCCATAAACATTAAAAAAAAAAAAACAAAAATTTCTCATGATATAGTAGTGACATGTAAATCTTGGTGAAATGATGACAACTAGGGCAGGCAGGTCCCCTTGAAACCAACTAGAACTGGCCTTAGAGCAGGCAAGTCTCCCTAGAATTGGTGGGGGTGGAGCCCCAATATCCCAGCCCCCATTTGCCCAAAAAGACAATGTAATGTAATCTTGTTCATCATCTAATTTCAGGTGGTCGATCATTATCCAAGGATGAGACTAAAGAAGAAGTTCTGTCCATGGAAGTGCAGAAACAGGAGATGGAAATAGAGATCAAAATGAAGATGGGAGCGATCATCAAAACAAGGCTAAAAGGTACCATCCATTGTTGCTTCTGTGATCTATGAAACCGAACCGCCCACCAACCCATCACGAACCCCCCTGATACACTTACCAAAACTAAAACTAGACATGTCCACACATCCTTGAGATCTCTGTTCTTCTGCCTCTTCTGCTCTCTCTCCCCCTTCATCCCAGCTTCAGTGTCTGCTCCCACCTGCAATTCTCTCGTGTGTGACATAGAATAGGAGGAAAAACTCACAAATGATCCATTAGAAGAAGAAGAAGAAGAAGATAGATCGGAGAGAAAACCCAATTAGCTTAGGAAAAAGACGTGCAGTTCTTGAAGATATTAGAGAGAAATAGAATAAGAAAGTCGCATTGAGTATAACGTCACGCGTGGCTTCCCAAAGTTGGTTTTGTCAATTTGAAGGAATGTAAATATAAATAAAAGAAGGATTGGCATTCATTGGCTGGGATCGATAATTGCGTAGCTTCTATCTGGGGTAGAGTTTGATTGATTTATTGCCTTAGATGACATTTAGTGCCGCGACACCCACCTGGCCACAATTCCTTTGTTTCTTCATTTTCATAACCTCTTTCATTATTGTTTCTTTCTTCTCTCCTCCCTTCTCATGCAAACCCAACTACAGCTTCTATTCAGAACATTAATCTTTAAGTATAGTCATAAATGAGCCTTTACATAAGACTAGTCTTATGAGTGTAACCGCCTCAACTCACTGCTAATATTGTTCATTTTGGCCTGTTACATATCATCTCAACCTCATGGTTTTAAGCGCGTCTACTAGAGAGAGATTTCCACACCCTTATAAGAAATGTTTCGTTCCCTTTTCCAACCGATGTGGGATCTCACAATCCACCCCTCTTGCTCACAATCTACCCCTCTTGGGAGTCTAGCATCCTCATTGGCTCACCGCTCAATATCTTGACTCTGATACCATTTGTAATAACTCAAACTCACAGCTAATAGATATTGTCTGCTTTGGCCTATTATGTATCGTCTGATTTTAAACGCGTCTACTAAAAAGAGGTTTCCACACTCTTATAAGGAATATTTCGTTCCCCTCTCCTTTGGCCTATTATGTATCGTCGTCAGCCTCATGATTTTAAACGCGTCTACTAAAAAGAGGTTTTCACACTCTTATAAGGAATATTTCGTTCCCCTCTCCAAGCGATGTTGACTATCAGATTTGAATCATCAGATTTGAATTTAGTTTCATTACTTTTTTTAATAACCTATTTAGTTACCATGTTCATCAGAAACTTTTATATTAGATTGGGGGTAATAGGAGGATTTAATTCAGGAAGTTGTTGAAGAAAATTGTAATAGCAGGCTGTTTTAAATTATATATGAAACTCTGTCAAATGCATCTGCACAAAAACACATTCATTGCAACTCAGCCATCCCTGGATTGTTAAATAAGTTAAAAGCCACTTGGTTTTTACTAGTATTTAGAAAAGGAAACAGCCCTACTTTTCCCAAAAAGCCCCCTTTGAGAGTCTGAGACACCCAATTAAAACTTGAACAAGGGAAGCCTAAAACACATCCAGACAAGACTGTCCCTTTATGCAGGCATGGAGAAGAACTGATGACAGCTCCTTTATTATACCAAATAAAATTACTAGCCGTGGAAATACAATAATGTTGTGAATGACACAACTGGGTTAGGTTGTTAGTATTATAATATTCCGAAGCTAAGCCTGCAGTTAAGTATGATTATAATCAATCATATTTTACTACTTCAATTGAATTTGAGTTAAGAAATTGGCCTGTTTCCTTCCCGTGTATCCTTCCCGTTCCCGTTTGACATAGTCAAATATAAGATTAGTTTAGTTCCACCGAACTAGTTAAAACATATATCTAAACCAAGAAATCAAAGGTTTGAATCCCCTTATTCTGAAGTCATTTTAGCTCGGGTTGAAACTCAAATTTGATTCGGGTAGATTTTCTTCTCATTTGAACAGATTTTTGGATCACATGGTGTGATAATGGAGCTGCCCAAGTAGAACTGTGATCTATGGAAGTGCAGAAAGTAAAGATAAGAACAGACATTATAACAAATATGGGTGCAATCATGAAAACAATGTCTATTTGTTGAATGAAACTGAAACTCCCACCAACCGAACACAAGCCTTCCCCATCATGCTTGCCACTGCCATTGAACCCTAAGTAGCCTTCACAGAATATGCAGATTCTCATTCTCTTCCCTTTCTCCTTCTTCCTTCATTGCTGATTCCCCTGCAAATCTCCATGTTTTATCCATCACAAAAAGCTCTTCAGAAGAACATATGGCTGAAAAGAAAACACTGAGAGATTGAGAGAGAACTATTACTGTAGAGGGTTAAAGGATTTGGTAAGTAATTGTTGACAAAATAGGATACAAACCCGGACATTTTATGTTAAAAAAATCATCATTAGCCCAATAAAATCAAACCAAAAGTCCAGTTATCTAGAAGACTAATTAGCCAACTCAACGAGTCCATTATCTAGAAGTTTCTAGATATCTAGATATTTTAAGAATATTTTAGAAGAAGATCAACTTGCGGTTTACATTGTATAGATCTACTATAGATACTCATCCAACTCTACAAGTTTTCTTGATTGGTTAAGAGTGTCAAAATTAAAAGTTTAAAGATTTATTAAACATTTATTCAAAATTAAAAGGCGAAAATGATAATTAAGTATGTTTTTTTAATTTATGAATTATATTAAAAAAAATATTCCTCCACGAAACGCTCACCATGCCCTAAACTTAGTCATGCCAATAGATTGGTAAATCCTCAAATGTCGAACAAAGGATTCTAAAAAGAAAAAGGAGTCAAACCTCCTCGAAGGTACGAAGATAGTAAAAAATGACTAAGACTCCAAAAGAGTCGAGCATCGATTAAGGGGAGGCATGTTTGTTCGAGGGGAGGTGTTGATGATGAAAGTCCCACATTGGCTAATTTAAGGAATGATCATGGGTTTATAAACAAAGAATACTCCCTCTACTAGATAGATTTTTTTGGGAAGCTCAAAGCAAAATCATGAGAGGTTATGCTCAAAGTAGACAATATCATACCATTGTGGAGAATCGTGTTCGTAGTCTCAACATCCATATTAAAATATCTTTTGACTTCTCGCAATCGATATAAGACAATGTTTGGATATGTATAAATTGAGTTTTTAATTTATTGAAATAAAAAAATATTAAACAAAATAAAATTACAATATCCCATTATAAGGTTTAAATTCCACTAAAGTCCATGAAAAAATATTAAACAAAATAAAATTACAATATCCCATTATAAGGTTTAAATTCCACTAAAGTCCATGAAGCGACAACTTGTATGCCAATCATCATCTTGGTATATATATATATATATATATATATTACAAACGTTTATAATTTAGTTTTTCTATAAATCTTAAAATTACGCTTTGTGCTTTATTATTAGTTTGAAATTAATTTTTTTATTAAATTTAATCAAGTAAATATAATATGAATATCTTTTCAAAATTTATAAAGCCAAACGCTAATAAACTAAAATTATATTTTAACAAGCAATATAATTAGTAATAACCAAACTACATAATAGATAATTAACATAAAATTAAGTGAAAGTTTCTTGAAAATTATTTTTCCTATGTTGGAAGAAAAAAAAAATTTTAAAAATATTTTCCAACATCCTCACTTTTTAATATTTTTTTTACATTGAATTTCTAAACGTAAAATTTAATTCTACCCGGAACGACCTATTATTTACAAACATTTATTATATCAAAGCCTAATTTTCTTTGATCAGAGACATTATGTTTTGGAATTTAAAAATAATATAATTTCTAAACATAGAGAAATTACAAATCTTAGCTCTCAATAAAGTTAAAAAAAATAAAAAAATAAAAATTATATTCTTTTTTAAATTCCAAAACGTGAGGTCTCTTCTCAAAAGAAAATTAAATTGACTAGTAAATGAGAAATGCTCATATCACATCCATATTAAAATGTGTTAATGATGGAAGATGGCAACTTAAATAGGTTAGAATATAACTTTAACTCATATATAAAAAAACAAACAAATATTTAAATTATAATTAAATAGTGCATGAAATGTGTTTATTAGTCATATTTGGACTAGTTCGTTCATTAAATGCAACTTAAACATCTCTTTCTTGAACTTCAACTTTGCATAACATATAAAAGAGGGCTCCAACGTAACTTGAATATGAGTGTACAAAGTTTGTTGTAGCTTTTTAGCTCTTGTCCTTGTAATTGGCCCTTAAGGTATGAAAATTCGTTGGCGTGGTTCATATCAAATCTCTACCATGACGTTGAATTGATGAAAACTTTGAGGAGGATAAGAAAGAATGGGTGGCAGGGGTAGAAAGAAGGGTCTCATACTGACTGGATAAGAACATGAATTGGAAACTTGGACCATTGGACTTGACCAAGCGTTGAAACATTTTTTTTTTTTTTTTTTTTTTTTTTTTTTTTTTTTTTTTTTNATACAGTTGTCCATTTGTAAATGATTACAAAAACAAACAATGAACAAATTGATGGCGAGGGATCTGGACATTAGACATGAAAGAAGCCCAATCGCGAAGCATCCTCTCCTACGCTCCAAAATTCCAATGGCAAGGGGTGAGCCTCTGTACCTTATCCTATAGCGGCTTCCTTCTCCTGCCGCGTCTGTTTCGCCACATTTCAAAATTCCACCCTTCCTTTTCTGTAATCAAAACAAACCGATTTGTTGAGCTTTTCCCATTTCCATCGTTGCTACACTAAGATCTTCAACCCTAAGGGTTCATCAAATTTTGGGGTGTTTCTGTTTTTCTCTTTTTGTGAATCTCTGGTGGAGAATGAGCGTGAAAACCCCGGCGACGAGGACTCGCGTTGGCAAGTACGAGCTCGGTAAAACCCTTGGCGAGGGCTCTTTTGCGAAGGTCAAGTTCGCCAAGAACATTGAGAATGGTGATTGTGTCGCCATCAAGATTCTTGATCGCGAACAAGTCCTTCGACACAAGATGGTCGAACAGGTAAACTGGTTTTCTTCGTTTTGTGGGATTTTTTCTTTTGTTATTTGTTGTTAATCTAGATTTGTTGGCAGATAAAAAGAGAGATATCGACTTTGAAAGTGATTAAGCATCCAAATGTCGTTCAGATTTATGAGGTACCATGTTCAATTTTCCCTGATTCTGTTTCCTTGTGAGGGAATAGGTTGAAAGTAGAGTGATCACCTATCTTTGATTTAAATCCCACAAGTTTTTCGAGGAACGAAATGTAGTAAAGTTAGACCGTTGTCTCATAGATTTTGGTCAAGATACATGCAAGTTTCGAGGAACGAAATGTAGTAAAGTTAGACCGTTGTCTCATAGATTTTGGTCAAGATACATGCAAGTTGGCTCGATAATATATGAGATTGTAGTAGTATAATCATTATGATGAACGATTCCCTTTCTACCAATTCACTAAGCCATTGAAGTAAGGATAAAGCTAATTTGAGAAGGTTCTTGGGATGCATGTGTTTCCAATTCACTAAGCCATTGAAGTAAGGATAAAGCTAATTTGAGAAGGTTCTTGGGATGCATGTGTTTTAATTCTTCTGTTCTTGTTTATAGGTTATGGCAAGCAAATCGAAAATCTACATTGTTCTTGAGTTTGTAGAGGGAGGCGAGCTCTTTGACCAAATTGTAAGACATTGTTTATTAGATTCATATTTGCATTTTACATCCGTTCTGTCTTGTTTCTTATCTAATTTTACATGTATAATAATCTCTCCTAGCCAAAGAGAAGGCTTAAAGAGGATGATATTTCTATTTATAGGCTACAAAGGGAAGGCTTAAAGAGGATGAGGCAAGGAAATATTTCCATCAGCTTATTAATGCTGTAGATTACTGCCATAGTAGAGGCGTGTACCATCGAGATTTGAAGGTTTTAAAAAGATTTAAATTTCCTCGAAACTTTACTTAGTGTTTGCAATTAGATCAGTGGGGTTTAGTTTACTGCACTGTCTGCTTCTGCAGCCTGAAAATCTTCTTCTCAACTCGCATGGTGTTCTTAAAGTATCAGATTTCGGATTGAGTGCACTTTCGCAGCAAGTTCATGTAAGTATTACTCAGATTCTGGCAGAGATTCTTTCATGATTGATTTTGTCCAGTGTTCTTCCTTCATTTTGGTTGTTCTCCATTGCTTATAAAACTTCTCAATTGAACTTTAGTTTCTTTATCTTAGTGTTGGTTAGGAGATGGTTGAATCTTCTTCCCTTGAATCTTTCTTTGAAAAAATATTGTAGTACATAGATCGAGCTTGCTACTTTCTTTTCGTATCGAATTTCTGTCCTTTAGGTGTCTGTTTCATATAATATCAAGGGATCACCAACACTATTATTGCAGGGTGATGGTCTTCTTCACACTGCCTGTGGGACTCCAAACTATGTAGCGCCCGAGGTGTGCATACATACTTCTTGCTTCCTTTTTTTCATTGGGAGAATTTTTGTATTTCGATATTCGAGTGAAGATGGTTAATCACAAACCACCTTGAGTTAGCATTAGCTGAGTTAAAATGCTTAGAATGAATGAGTTCTAGTCATGAAGGCTACTTCCCTAAGATTTAATATGTACGAGTTACCTTCACAACTAAATGTAGTAGAGTCAGACTCTTGTCTTATAAGAATAGTTGAGGTATATAACTAAAATAAAATAACGATTGTTCGTTATACTTCTGCAAAATGTGTGCTAAGTTTTTGCCTTTGATTTTGATATACTATATCAGGTCTTCCATGATAAAGGTTATGATGGTCAATCATCTGATATTTGGTCGTGTGGGGTTATTCTCTTCGTTCTTATGGCAGGCTTCTTGCCTTTCAGCGAGTCAAATCTAACGGTCGTGTGGGGTTATTCTCTTCGTTCTTATGGCAGGCTTCTTGCCTTTCAGCGAGTCAAATCTAACGCATTTGTATCGAAAAGTTAGTTTTTATCTTGTTTTGTTTTTACTATTTATACAGACTGGGACTGTTCTCAAATTATATTTGATATGAATTTCAGATTTCCAGGGCTGATTTCTGCTTTCCGTCATGGACTGTTCTCAAATTATATTTGATATGAATTTCAGATTTCCAGGGCTGATTTCTGCTTTCCGTCATGGTTCTCAAATGGTGCTAGAAAACTAGTTCGTCGCATTCTCGATCCAAACCCTCTTACTGTAAGTTTATAACTCCTAATTTGATTTACTCTCTTGAAGTTTGATCCTCCGTAAAGTCTCAAAACTTTTCTTTTCATTCTGTTACTTCAGCGAATAACAATAGCCGAAATTCAAGAAGATGAATGGTTCAAGAAGGGCTACACACCCACCCAATTTGAAGTGGAAGAGGATATAACTCTCGATGATGTCAATGCTGCTTTTAGCAGCTCGAGGGTGAGGATTTTATCACAAAACAGAGGCTTTGAGCCAGAGATTAATGTGATGGAAATGAGAGGAAAGATGAAGTTCCCTATTAAGGTGTTTCGTTAATTTTTTTTTAATTCCAGGAACATCTTTTGACCGAAAAGAAAGAGAAACCGGTGTTTATGAATGCTTTTGAGCTTATATCTAGGTCTCCAGGTTTCAGTCTTGAAAATCTATTTGAGAAGCAGAAGGTACTTATTCAGTTGTATTGTAATAATTCTGTATATTTAGTTAATTGATATCATATGGATCAAATTAAATATTTTCAGGCTGTTGCAAAGAGAGAAACCCAGTTTACTTCACAGAGCCCTGCAAATGAGATCATGTCGAAGATAGGCTGTTGCAAAGAGAGAAACCCAGTTTACTTCACAGAGCCCTGCAAATGAGATCATGTCGAAGATTGAAGAAACTGCAAAACCTATGGGGTTCAATATTAAAAAACGGGACTACAAGGTAACCATTTATTGATAGCTTGTGAAAGATATCTTTGTTTCTGAGATGAGTTTTGTTAGAACTCTTGTAACGAGATATGATATCAATGCAGATGAAGCTGCAAGGTGACAAGACTGGGAGGAAAGGACACCTCTCCATAGCCACTGAGGTAAATGCAGATGAAGCTGCAAGGTGACAAGACTGGGAGGAAAGGACACCTCTCCATAGCCACTGAGGTAAAAACATTATTCCTGGCTAACATTATTAATTAGTTTCGTAATCTCATGTACCGAACTCGTTTCAATGCCTTTGTCAAAAGCATGCATCTAGAGACTTTTAATTCTAAATAAATATATGTGAGATTCTACGTCGATTGAAGAGGGGAATGAGTGCTAGCGAGGACGCTGAGCCCCAAAAGGAGTGGATTGTGAGATCCTATATTGGTTGGAGATGGGTTACCGAACATTCTTTATAAGGGTGTGAAAATGTCTCCCTAGCAGAGGATACTATCTACTGGCGGTGGGCTTGACCTGTTATGATATAACTTGGCTTCACCATCATTGGCCACCATCTGTGATTAGAATGAAAAAGGATTGAAACTATTTACTCGGTTCACAAATTTCCCTCAAATAGCTTCATTTGAAGTTCAATGGCTTTCTTTCAACATCTGATGCCAAATATCTTTGCCCTTTGCCCTTTGAACTCCAGGTGTTCGAGGTGGCTCCTTCCTTGCATATGGTGGAGCTCCGAAAAACTGGTGGCGATACGCTCGAGTTTATCAAGGCATGTTACCAGTATTCTTATTGAAACTCAGAACTAAATTCATTATTTCAGAGCTAAATTGTACAATCTCATATACTAACGTGCTTTTGCATTTCCATACGACAGTTCTACAAAAGCTTCTCTTCAGGATTAAAAGATATAATGTGGAGAACTGATGGAAATACTGTAGAAGGGAGCTAATATCTTTCTCTCAGGATTAAAAGATATAATGTGGAGAACTGATGGAAATACTGTAGAAGGGAGCTAATATCTTTCTCACTATCCTCTTCATAATGCTGTTATGAAGTTGATACCTGAGATGCTTTGCAGGTATCACATCGAAACTCGTCATCAATTACAAACGTTGAAGATATAATCCTAAGAAAATCTCTACTTCTTTCCCCCTAAGAAATCAATAAACACAGTAATTGCACAAATAGTTAACGTTTCTGATAAAAGAAAAGTGAGCTGATTCAAGTGCACTTTTGCTTTGATCATCTACTACTGGTGTGCATTTCGAAGTCTTAATTGTATTCATGAAGACTAACTCAGTGGGTTTTTTTTAACCAGAAATTGCATTGTTTCGAAGTCTTAATTGTATTCATGAAGACTAACTCAGTGGGTTTTTTTTAACCAGAAATTGCATTGGAGAGGAACATGATATCAAAATCTCATATCTATGGCATGGTAAGTTACCCATTAGACAGGAAAAAAAATAAGAAAAATCGAGATTTTCTGAAGCATTTGATTCTACTTCGTTCTCTATTTGCAGTTAACAATATCAATAATATGTTGATGCAAGTCATCTGTTATACTCATAGAATTGTATGATGTTTCATCATGAAACATATCAATAGAAAAATTAATTAGAAGAGTAATTGAATGATCACGTAATGTTGTAAGATGGCCAAGAGATGCTATTTTGTTGATTTGAATGAGCTTATGGTGCTTTTGGAGAGAGCTATTCTATTTGACTTCCAGTAAACTTTATTTCTATATTTTAGGGTTTAGGGTTTTGGGCACATTCAAACGAACCTTCAATTACTGGAACAAGTTGTATAAAAATATCAAACTGCATTAATTTCAACATTTTACAAATAACTTCAACTTAATTAAAGAACTGTTTGTGAAGAGAAAGCAGTAAAAGAAAGTGATATAGAACAAATAACTTCAACTTAATTAAAGAACTGTTTGTGAAGAGAAAGCAGTAAAAGAAAGTGATATAGAAGGGTTGTAAAGAACAGCAGTGAAGTCAAGTCCATGATCGATCATTCATCGGAGGAGGAAGGCAAGGTTGTCGGGCTTAGCTTCATCTTCTATGTCTGCATATATTGGTAGAACTATCATTATTTGTGAGATCCCATATTGAGATCCCATATTGGTTGGAGAGGAGAATGAAGCATTTTTTATAAGGGTGTGAAAACTTATCCCTAGCAGACGTGTTTTTAAAACCTTAAGGGAATGTTCGGAAGAGAAAATCCAAAAAGGACAATATCTACTAGCGGTGAGCGTGGGCTGTTACAAATAGTATTAGAGCCAGATACCGGGCGATATACCAGTAAGGAGGTTGAGCACTGAAGGGGGGTGGACATGAGGTGGACATGAGGTGGTGTGCCAGCAAGGACACCGGGCCTGAAGGGGTTTGGATTGGGGGGTCCCATATCGATTAGAGAAGGGAACGAGTGCCAGCATCCTCGTTCGACTATGAATGCAACCTAAACTGTATAGAATTGCTAAGAAATTGAGCTCTAAGTTGAAAGAAAAGTGCGTATGTTCTTTTACTACATTTTACAAGTCTACCTTACAAAGACAACGCACAACTTTATATAGCCTCAAAATGAAAGTTTTGACCTTCCATGATGCATTTCAAGAAACATTCATACTTTAGGAGCATAATTAGTTGTTACGTAAATATAACCTAAAAAGTAAATAAAAAGTCTTACACTAACTAAACACTACTAAAAATCTAAACTTTAATCATCAACCAAAAAATTTGTAACCATCCAAAAATATATGAATCCCCTCAGTTGAAGTAATTTGTATCCATGTATAAATGAAACTTGATTTTTCTTCAATATTACAATAATGGTATCTTCTTTAAAGTTACATGATTGAAATCATGTCTTAGGTTCATATTATGCCCTGTTTTGTAATGGTATCTTCTTTAAAGTTACATGATTGAAATCATGTCTTAGGTTCATATTATGCCCTGTTTTGTTTTGGAAATTAGGGAGTCATCAATTTGATTCCTCTCCATTGATCTCTCAAACTTTATTTTCTCTTCTTGTCTTGGATAGAATTTCAATGTCCGATCAATACCATTATGAGGCTGCACGCTTATTATAGTTAAGGTTCACATTACGTTATCTTTAGCTCCTATATTTGAAACTTGCAAATAATTTATTGGACAAGATCCTCATATAATCTTTCCTCTTTTTCTCGCAGTTTTGAACTTGTTTCAGGAATATTATCTCTCTTTCCTTGCCAATTTTCTTAATTGTTCTACAAGTTTCGTAATTAACTACTTCGCATAATTCATCTAGAATTTCATTCCTGCATAGCATTCTGTTAAACGCATAAATTTATCAGAACCAATAGGCACCATCTTACATGTCAATGTGGATGGAAATCATGTACAGGATACACAATTTCCATTTCCATTCGATTCTCTGTTGGCTGCTTGTAAATTTGTAGTTGTAGGTTTAGGCACCACGACTGGATGGCATGCACCGTCCCCAAATTATGGGTCAACATCGGAGTATGAGTCTTGTTTGATCATCAATCGTGCAAACCTGTCAATGGCCAAATTATGGGTCAACATCGGAGTATGAGTCTTGTTTGATCATCAATCGTGCAAACCTGTCAATGGAGGTTGGTGTAAGAAGTTGGAGGAAGAAGAAGATGGAGATTTGAGGTAAGTCTACTATCACATCTGTTTGGACCACCACCATCCTTGATGGCATGTGCTGTAGTAGCTAGATTATAGATTATTGTCAAATCTGTTTGGACCACCACCATCCTTGATGGCATGTGCTGTAGTAGCTAGATTATAGATTATTGTCAAAAGGGTAACACGTCTTATCTTCATGATCTTATCTTCATGTGATATCAATAGTAAAACTTATTTTAGGGAGAAAAAATGTGAGGATTGTCCTACATCGACTAATTAATGATATCAATAGTAAAACTTATTTTAGGGAGAAAAAATGTGAGGATTGTCCTACATCGACTAATTAAGGTAAAAAAAATTTTAAGTATGTAAATATGAGACACTCTCTATTAGTATGAAATCTTTTGGGAAAACTAAAAGTAAAGTCAGGAGAACTTAGGTTCAAGGTGGACAATATCATGCCATTGTGAACTCTTGCCTGCAAAGGTTTGTTTTTTGATTTGCATGGGTGAATAACTTTTGTAACTTATTCAATATGTCTACTATTTTGAAAACTTGACTAAAATTGAAGTCGGAAATAAAATTTCATTAACTTATTCAATATGTCTACTATTTTGAAAACTTGACTAAAATTGAAGTCGGAAATAAAATTTCATGAGATGAAATTCACTATTTCTCATAGAGAAAGTGGAAGAGTAGTTAGTTCTCTTTAAGTAATAATTTTGGGACTTGACCAATGAACCTCACCCTCTTATTGACACGAAAGGAACTTACTGTTAGATCATACACAAATTGTAAGATGTAATTATAGAGATCAAATAAATTTTTAAACTTTTGATTCAGCTGTAATTATGAACAATTTGTGATTGTAATTATAGAGATCAAATAAATTTTTAAACTTTTGATTCAGCTGTAATTATGAACAATTTGTGATGGATATACTTGCATGTAATGCTTATATCAATGGAGACAACTTGTCCTACCACGCACAAAAATGCAACTCTAGATTTATAGTTGAGTGACTTGTGCTTAATGAATAAAAACTAATTAAAGAGGGGGTGGAACTGCACACTTTCGTGTTCAGAGTATTGTCTGAGTGAATAGGCAGGGTGTTAAGGATATTTAGTAATAAATTACACTTTCGTGTTCAGAGTATTGTCTGAGTGAATAGGCAGGGTGTTAAGGATATTTAGTAATAAATTATAGTTTACCATATATATTATATTTGATATTTTATTATAAGGCAAATATCTAATATTTGCCTTATTATCATAGGTATCATTATATTATATTTGATATTTTATTATAAGGCAAATATCTAATATTTGCCTTATTATCATAGGTATCATTTCATTTATTGTTATTTCCATATCCTTGTAATTTATTTGATTATAAATAAGACAACTTTCACACCATTTAGGTGTGGTGGATTAATCAAACATTCACATGGTATCAGAGTCCTTTCGGTTTAACAACCCTGATCCTTTCTTTTCAATGGCTTTTGAATCCTCTAATCTTCTTCTCAACCACCCTTGCTGGTTTTGACGCCGCAGGGGCAGTCTTCATGGCTGCCGTAGTCGGAGCCGATTGATTACTCTTTGGCTCCACCCTATTGATCTCCAAATCACCTTTCGTCATACTCTGTACATACAACCTCACCTTTTCCAACCAAATCGGTTTTCCCTTTGGCCAATATAGTCTCTCTCATTTTCTTCCCAATTAACCTTCATCCTTCACATAAACCCTAACCTAAACCTATCAACCTTTTGCAGAGATTTACCTTCGGAATCTGGGTGCCGCACGGCCTATTCGCCAACCAAGTTGCCGCCGCCCTTCCTGCCAAAATTGGCTTCTTCGCCCGATGAGGCGACTCTTCCGACTGCCCTTCTCGCCAAAATTGGCTCCTTCGCCCAATGTGGTGACTCTTCCGGCTTCAACATTGTCTTTGTCCCTTGCTCTACGTTTCCCCTTCTACTTCTTGGTGTTAGAAATATTCTCACTAGAGCCAAGGCAGCATCGTCGCTAAGCGACAATCCCTCTTCATGGGTTAGACATATTCTCGCCTAAGCCAAGGCAGCATCGCCGCTGAGCGGCGATCCCTCTGCAATTTTTGATGGCCAAGAACCGGGTTGTTAGCATCTTCATGAAAAGTGTTTCTCAACCTCTTTGAATTTTTCAGATTCAAGCTTCACGTTCGTTTAAATCCGACGCTTAGCTTGCGGTGGGGTGTTAAGGATATTTAGTAATAAATTATAGTTTACCATATATATTATATTTGATATTTTATTATAAGGCAAATATCTAATATTTGCCTTATTATCATAGGTATCTTTTCATTTATTACTATTTCCATATCCTTGTAATTTATTTGATTATAAATAAGACAACTTTCACACCATTTAGGTGTGGTGGATTAATCAAACATTCACACAGGGCATTCCACGCAAAGCTTGATTTTAAAGGCTGGGCTGGTTTCTTTTTTAGCCTGCCAACAATTTTATTTAGATGTAGAGGCAAGCCCAAGAAAGTCTAGGTTGGCTTCCAACTCCATCTCAGTCGACATTTTGCTTTCGAGGGGGTGGAGTCTTGGAGCGAACTACTCATTGCTGTGTTGCCCCAATCCAAGAAAGGACTTTTGTGAGGAGCATTGTTTTGAGGGAGGGAAAACGTGATTGACAAGTCACTTCGAGAAGGTGACTGGAGTGCTTTCATCAAATGATTAGATCACCTCGCCATAGATGTTGTGCATGTCACACTAACTTTGATACATGAGGTATCTTGACGAAATTTAGTGTAACAAGGATTTTAAGAATTAAGAATAACTTACATTTTTTGTTTGAAACCCTCGGGATTCTTGTTGACTCATTTTCAAATAGGTCAAAAGAGGTGAAGATAGGACTAGACCATGATCATAGAGACCAAGGGCACTATGGCGGTGTACGCATATGAGGTCGACTAGGGAGCTTGGACATCGTCCCAAGCTTTCCTTCTCTCTTTTGTTTAGCGGTCGAGCTTCCTCGTCTCTTTTAGAGTCTAGGTCACGAAAGAACATAAAGATTTAAGGGGTCAGCTTTATCTTTAAAGAAACTATATACTTCGATGTTCAAGCAAAAAATTAGATGATGGATAGGAGTGCACTTTTATAATAATAAATGATATTTAATGATTTTAATGTCATAATTTTTATATAAGTATGATATTAATTAATGGATTTTTTAAAGGTTTAATTATTTCTCATAAATTACTAATTTATTAATAGTTTCAATAAATATACAATAAAATTAATTAATGTACTAATAGATATATTTATTTCATCAAGTTAGACTTAGATTCATTAAATGTGCCATTCCTACCGTCTTCAATTTTCACTAATTTTAAATAAGTAATTTAAAAAACCTTAAAATTGTAAGTTAAGGTCGAACATGCAATTTTAGAAATGAAAAAACATATATATTTTATTTTATTTTATTTTATTATGGTTTTATTAATAATTTATCATAATCATATAAAATTGGTAAGATAGTTCATTTAAAATTATTTACTTAATTAAGTTTTAATTTGATTATTGCACTAAATATTTATAATTAAAAGCTTATATAATTTTATTAAAATGATTGCATTTGCTATTTTGTCATTTTAGATTTTTAGATTTATTTAATATTTATTAATTTGATTTTAGTTTCCTTTTTAAATGGGCAGTTTGTTGATTATAAGCTAGGAGTCATTTTATTTAAAACCGGTAATAAAATATGGTGATTTATTCCAGTATTAATTACTTCATTACGCCCAAATTAGTCTAGTTAGGCCAATTAATTACTTATTTTATTAACGATATTTAATTGCTTTAAATTTTGTTTCATACCGTTTATTTTAGTTCTCTTAATATTTCTCTATGGTCACTATTGACAACTATACGTTGTAATAGGATGCAAGCTGGTCCGAATAGATATGACTAAAATAAGACTGTGGCCAATGTGAAGTAAAATAAACGTTTCCTTTATAATTCTTCTCCTAACGTTTGAAAGAGGTTGCATCACTAACTCGCTAAGTTATTAACAAAGTATTTTAACATCGTGCCAATTATAACCATTTTAAGGACCAAAATATGTTAATGCCATTAACAAATATTAACTAATATTATAAGTAATCCTTGATAAAGAAATGCCTGTATAGAAGTTTATGAGGGGGAAAACTAAAAGAAATGTGAGCATAGACATGAGGTGGGAGAGTCATGAAGAGAATAAAAGCATGAAAAGAAACCAGGAGTGCATTATCTAAAAGAGAAATAAGAGGCAATTGTCTAAAAGAGAAATAAGGGGCAGTACATCAAGAATTGTGAGAGTCACATCGATTGGAGGATAGAACGAAGTATTTTTTATAATGGTGTAGAAATCTCTCTCCAGCAGACACATTTTAAAATGTTGAGATGAAGCTAAAAGAAAAAATCAAAAGAAGACAATATAGCTTAAGGAATCAGTACAAGGGGTAAGATTCAGATTACCTTGAATGATTCTTGTTGATGAAGTATCTTAAGGCAATAACACTTGTTTGAGATTCAAATCACTCCACAGACAAAATTAATTATGTCAAACTTAAATGATTCTACATAAAACATAATTTTCAAGTCTACTTACAAATACAACATATATGAGCCTAAAAATGAAAACTATTAAACTTATTCCATAAGTTGTAACATTCTTACTTTATGGTCATAATTAACCCGGGTGTAAATGTAACCTAAATAAAAGTTTTTAAAATATATTAATAAAATACAATAACTCTAAATTACTTTAAATTATAATCCATCCAAAATTTATAATAATGAAACTTCATTTGTGGCATGAATTGAAATATGTAATATTTTCTTCACATCTCTATTGAAGTATATGGTATGATTGATGTGTCTCGATTTTGGGACTTAAACAATTGCTGGATTAAGAAAATAATGAAATGAAATAAGTGATAAGAGTCATTGTTCACATGGGTTCGAAAGAATAGTCTAAGAAAATAAAGGGAATAATGAGAGGGAGCCCCTCTCTCTCTATCAAAAGGAGCAATCTCGGTTTCTACCCTCTCTCTGATTTGAGTTTCTTTGAATGGATACAAAACCCACTTCAGCTCTTTAGTCAATGGCCCCCAACAACTTGGTTCAGACATACCCAGCATACCCAGCATACCCAGCATACCTATAAAAGAGAAAAGAACAAGCTACATGGAGCTGATTCAGGGGTGGAAGTCCTGTTAGCATGCTAGATATCGATCCAATCCTAAGCCTATCTACAAGAAGAGTGTGGCCATAGACATCATTAAAGAAGATATTCAAATAAACACCTAACTACAAATCTCAAACCACTACAATTCGAAGAGGATCTATCCATTAATTTCCTTATCTCATCATTCTTGGAACTACTCCCATTTATTTTAGATGCACACCCCCTCGGCTCCTCCTTCCTTCCCTTCACTTTTGTTCATTATATCTATTCTTGCTTGGCCTGCTGCCAAGTGCCAAACCCTCTCTGCTTCTCTACCGCCCTTCTCTCTCTCTCTCTCAATCACTACACAACGAGATGGTAGTTTGAAAGTTTTTCAATCCTTTGCCTTCATAATTTCTCTTCTTCTCTGGATTGGCTACTCCGGGAAGTTCTTGTTTCTAAGAGAAATCAACCAGAAGGGTGAGACTTAGAGAGTGCTGCACAAAGACATCCAAAGAGAAATTAGCAACGCATTAAATATGGAAAGCGTTGAGAAGGATACAGAGAGATTAACAGCAGAAAAGAGAAATTAGCAACGCATTAAATATGGAAAGCGTTGAGAAGGATACAGAGAGATTAACAGCAGAAACGGAGCTTAAGAACTCCTCCATCCTCATCAGAATCCGGCAACGCTTGCTAGACATTTTACTGTCAGTTAAGCTCAAATATGTCAAATTGGGAAATGGGTACTCATGCAACTCTGCCACTACTCTTATGTTACTCGTAATTCTGCCCCTGTTTATTTCCATTGCCATTCAGCTGTCCGGTTTCAAACTCTTCCGGGTGTCCGAGTTACTGCCGACCACAAGATTTCAATATGGGATTAATGCAACTACAACCATAGCCAGTCTGATGTCTATATTTCTCCTTGGCCTTTACTGTTCCAAGCGATCTACACCGGTTTATCTGGTGGAGTTTGCCTGTTACAAACCGGAGGATGTGAGGAAGATGACAGTGGACAGCTTCCTGGAGATGAGTGCAGAGAGCGGTGCCTTTCAAGAGGATGCCCTTAAGTTTATGTCCAAAGTTGCTAAACGAGCTGGTCTTGGCGATGAAACCTACTTCGCGAGAGGAATTACTTCTCGGCCGCCGAATTTGTGTCTTGATGAAGCTCGCTACGAAGCCGAGACTGTAATATTCGGTGTACTCGATGCTCTGTTCGAGAAAACCGGCTTGGATCCGAGTCAAATAGGAATTCTAATCGTCAACTGTAGCTTATTCAATCCCATACCATCGCTGTCGGCCATGATTGTGAACCACTACAAGCTTCGAACCGACATTAAATGCTATAATCTCAGTGGGATGGGCTGCAGCGCAAGCCTTACCTCGATCACGCTAGCTAAGGGCTTTCTCAATGCATACCCTAACACGTATGCGGTTGTTGTGAGCACCGAAAGTATAACCCTAAATTGGTACTTCGGCAACGACCGATCGATGCTGATTAGCAATTGTCTATTTCGAATGGGAGGAGCAGCGGTGCTGTTATCGAACAAGCACGGCGATCGATCCCGATCAAAATACGAGTTAATTCACATGATTAGGACTCACAAAGGGGCTGACGACAAAAGCTACAATTGCGTTTATCAGAAAGAGGACGACAAGGGGAAAATGGGGGTTTCACTCGCACGAGAATTAATGGCGATTGCAAGTGAAGCATTAAAGACTAACATTACGACTCTAGGTCCTTTGGTACTACCATTTTCAGAGCAAATCACCTTCTTCCTATCGATGATGAAAAAGAAAGTGCTGAAATCGAAGGTGAAACCCTACGTACCTGATTTTAAGCTCGCTTTCGAGCATTTCTGTATCCACGCCGGCGGAAGAGCAGTGATGGACGCTGTGCAGAAGAATCTCGAATTGAGTGACTGGCACATCGAACCCTCGAGGATGACATTGTACCAATTCGGGAATACATCGAGCAGCTCGTTGTGGTACGAATTAGCATATACAGAAGCAAAGAATCGTGTCTCAAAAGGCCACCGGATCTGGCAGGTGGCGTTCGGAGCGGGATTCAAGTGTAACAGTGCGGTTTGGAAGGCTCTGCGAGAACTTCCGGCGACCGAGTGCGGCCGAGTTAACCCATGGATCGACTCAATTGAAAATTTCCCGGTCAGGGTTCCTGTTGAATAATAATAGCGTCCTTAATGCAGAGAGTTTCCATATATCCACGTGGGAGATTATAAGTGGATGTGGGACCTCTCTCTCAAAGGGGAAAAACATTTTATTTATTTGTCTTTTCTTCCAACAATTTAGCCAAAATATTTCTAAATCTAAGATTTGGTCTCCATTATTAAAAAAAAAATATTAGAAAAAAATAATTTTCTAGAACCGTAAAAATATTTTGGTAACTTTTGATAAAACTAAATATTTAAAATCCTAGTTACATCCCTCCCCATACTTATATATTATATATTGTGAACTATTGTTGTTACTCTTTTGCTTGCATATATAACATTTTTTTCGAAAATTTTTCTATGCCCTCGTTTTCTAAAATCTTCTTCTTAAACCGAGGTTAGAGGCTCGAACATACGTCACTTGGCCGTAGGCAACGCAAGAACAAATTGGCTTAGTTCACTCTATTGTTGGGAAAGGAGTGTCGCACAATCGCAAGTCCACTGCCATAAAAAATGCAATTGTGACAAGTGGTATAAAGAAAAATGATGAATTGAAAAGTAAAAAGAATCCTAAACTCGACCAACTATTTACTTTCCACCAAGCCCAACAAGAAGATGAATTGAAGGTAAAAAGAATCTTAAACTCGACTAACTAGGGTTGTCTTATGATAAATATACGAGTTTGAGGAGCATTTTGACAAATTACAAAATGGAACAACTTGAAAACATATATTTGATCTTGAGCTTAAAATGTTAATACCAAATGATATGGTAGGTAACCCTAGAAATAAGGGACGAGCTACGTTACAGATAAGGGACGAGCTAAGTTAAAGATGGGTCATCACCTACTTTTATCCATTTTCATGCAATTGAAATCTAAAGGCTACTTTTCTAGTGAGTAGGTTTTAGGTCAAATCTTAAAATTTTAAAAAGAAAATAAATAGCAAAGAATGACCTTAGTTTTTAAGCATACATTTTAAAACCAAGCACAAGAAAACAGAAAGCAAACAAACAGATAAACCCTAAAACAATGATCTCATAGCAAATTCGTACCAACCAGGCAGTATACCCTTCGAGTTTCGACTAAAAAGTGAGAGATTCGAATTGAACGGGGAAAAGGAACAGAAAGAATCTTCTCAGAAAAAGAGATGAAGAACAATGAAGTTATCCTTTACCAGTGATTACACAGACTTTCACCTTCAAAAGGACATAAAAAAAATGGGAGAAAGAACAGGAGATTCTAAAACTGAGTAAAACTTTGAACTGCATATTGCTTATGGTACACACAATTCTCTTTGTTCAACTCTGAGCTAAATAAGAAGTGCCATAATAGCAAAAACCTCTCTGTTCTTTCTCTCATCTTGTTCGGTTTCTTTTACATTCTTTTTCTGAGTGGGGATTTTTGTTATTTCCTGTGATTTAGCCTTCTAATCTCCAGTCACACAATCCTTTTCAGCTCTTTTACCGTTAATACGGCCGATACCTTCTCCCACGGTTGACTTCATCGCCACTGCTGCTACCTCCCGATCGACTCGTCGGTCCACCTGAGCCACTGCTCCGCTCACTTCTTCTAGACCGAGAAGGTGGCATCGGTACTCCAGGTTGCTGACTGCATTCCCAAGTAATCATACATAGAATTTACTATCTTATATAGTCATATAAAAATGGATTTTGATTCGAGTAAGAGTTGTGAGATCTTACAGGACATAACCAATTCGACCATCCGGTAAAACCATTGGTACCATCTGCATTCCAGCAGGCATTGGCCCCCTACCATAAATCATTGGCTGTTCATGCAAGAAAATCCATGAGATTAATGTGGCCAAAGTCTTTTTTCATTTCATTTCTTTTGCTTCGGGTGATAAACGAGCAGATTACCTGATGCAAGCCTGCAGTAACACCATACCCACCTAAGGAACCGTATGGACTTCCGCCATAACTACCGTATCCAGCATGAAGAAGATGGTTTGAATGACTTCCAGATATATGGGAATAGGCTCCATCTGGCTTTTTATCACTTTGAGGCTTTGCAAGGACAACCTCCAACACTTGGCCTGCATAAAAAAATCTCAGAAGATTATTATTATTACTATTTTGAAATGCAGATCTCAGAAGATTATTATTATTACTATTTTGAAATGCAGATCTCAGAAGATTATTATTTCAGTCAAAAGAAGTCGAACAAATCATTTTTGAATTCACTCTTATCATCAAGGAACACAAACACAATCCCGAAATATTTTTAACGTTTCACTGTAAATAAAAGCAGATATGATTGTACATTTCAGATTTCGAATGTAAATCTCAGAGGATATAGAAATAAAACCTTCAATTTCATATTTCTCTGTCTCTTTTACAGCCTTCAGTGCACTTGACCTCTCAGCATAATGGATGAATGCAAAATCCCGTTTACTATGCCCAGCTTTCCCAGGTGGCATATTCACTTTTGTCACATCCCCATGCTGCTGAAACAGTTCTTTCAATTGCTCAGTAGTAGTATTCTCAGGTATGTTTTTCACATAAAGAGCCTTCACCTGCGAACCGCAATGTAATAGAACTATGAAAACTTACTAGCACGAACATAGAAAACAGGCAGTCAATGTCGAAACTAAACAAGTCTTTATAGCTTTCATCATCACCAATGGAACATAGAAAACAGGCAGTCAATGTCGAAACTAAACAAGTCTTTATAGCTTTCATCATCACCAATGTAGTATTCGAACTACCATGCTTTTTTAAATATCTTCCTGTGAATTTGAAAACTATATTGTATTTCAAATTATATTTCAATTCCTTCAAGTACATCTAATACACAGTCATAAAGAGAGCTGATCACGGTTAGTTAAAAGGTTCGAGGGATGGAAACAATTGGAAACATGAAGCTACTTTAATAGTCAAGTATTGTGCTGAATGCTCACTCGTTCACCAAGATGCTGACATATTGTTAGGTAGAGATTGTTCCAGAAGACAAATTTCCTGGAGATTGCATGAAACGTGTTTGGGAGTGGTTTTGAAAGGGTTAAAATCACTTTTGCCATGTTACACACGAAAACATGCTATTAATTATTCAAAATCCACTTAATGATTGATTCTACACTTTTAAACACAATTTTCATACCATAAAAATTGATTTTGAATCATTAAAAACATGTTTTAAAATGATTTTGAATACAATAAAAGTAATTTATAAAAATTGATTTTGAATCATTAAAAACATGTTTTAAAATGATTTTGAATACAATAAAAGTAATTTTAACCATTTCAAAATCACTCCCAACCATGCCCTTGTAGCATTAGCCATGGGGTCATTTAGAATTTGTTGAAGTTTGTCAGTGGCAGCCAGATCCAGTGGGATGCCGAATACTACTTTAAGACGGTTTTGAACTGAACTTAGCTCAAAGAGAAATCCAGGCAATTAAAAATTACCAAGATGACTATCTTCCTACTCACATTTCCTAACCCAATGTTCAGTTGGTCAATCAATATAATTTTGTGGGCCAGATTTTGGTTGCTATCACTTATTTAGCTATTGAAATTGAAGAAACACAACTGCACGATATACGACTTTCATCTTTTAACCTATCACATTTGTTAACCAAATTCCAGTCGATATGAAATTTCAAGGTACTTGAAAAATGCCATACAGACCCCCCCATATATTTTCTCCAAAAAGGTAACTCAATTACCTGAGAAGCAGCAGAGTTATCAGGTGTACTTTTCGGGTCAGCCCAACTAACAGTTGGGGAATTTCCATCCAGCTTAAAATTCGCGCTCGACATTTTCTGCCTTGAATAATCAGCACAGGCATTGTTATAATATAAAACAAATGCAAATCCACGATTTCGGCTTGGGTTCTGAGGATCCTGCAATTGTTCATACAGAAGAAAAAACATAAGGGCTCAATAACTATAAATTTCTAGATGATGTATAAATTTGCAACTCCACCTTAATAAGCTCAATGTTTTCAGCTCCAGGGCCAACTCCTTCTATAAGTCTCTTAAACTCGTCTTCTGTCCAACTTTTCGGGACATTACCAATAAATAATCTGTGTTTAGAATCAGACAGAGAACACCTTATCGTTTTACCCTGTCGTATGAAGGACAAACTAGAATTACATTAAAAAAATTTGGTGATGGATATCAGAAAAAGAGCAGCTCTGGCTGCTGAAACATGGTAAAGTACTTATAAGGACATCAAAGTCTTAAAGGGTCCCGACAATTACCTTAACTTCTTTACCATGCAACTCTTCTATAGCCTTTTGTGCTGACTCTTTGGTTTTAAATGATATAAATGCATAACCCTTGCTTTCACCAGAATCTCTGTCTTTTATTATCCTTATCTGCAAAACAATTGTATTACCAAAAGAACTTACCTCTAAAATCGAAGGCCCATAGAAAGAAAGATAGAGCACGAGAAAGAATAAACACCATTCCAGACCTCAAATATTTCACCTAGTGATTCACACAAATCTCTCAAATCTTCTTCCGAAACATCGCGTGAAAGTCCGCCAATAAAAACTTCAGATCCATGAGGAGGAAGGGCAAGAAGCTGAGCATGCTTCTCAAGATCATCTTCATCTAACAAAGAAGCAGACTTATCTCTATTTTCTATAGACTCTATGGATATGTTATTTCTACCATCTTCTGAAAAGTTATCTTCTGTGTTGGTCTCAACTTGATGCTCTTCACTAACTTCTTCAACGTCCTCTTCCGGACGTTCACCATCCCTCCTATCTACTCCATCCTCATCTACATGTTCTTCCACATCATCATCCATCTCTTCCATGTAATTGTCCTCTTCAAGATCCACCCGCTCCTCAACTTCCGAACCATCTGCCATGACTGCGCTATGTGGCAGATAGTGTCAACAAACAAACTTCATAAACATCAAAATCACCTGTAATATAATAAATGCATTCAAGTTCTAAATATGGATTAAACTATTAAAATGAAAATGAAACAAGATTAACACGAGTAAAATGAAAACATTCAAGTTCTACATATGGGTTTAGTTCAGTGTTGAAGATATCTAGAAGCAACAGTAATAGGAGTCCAGATTTCATAGATAAGGATAAAGAGATTGAAGAAAATTAAAAGTAAAATTCCACGTGCTTGTTCTAAGATGATGAAATTCTAAAAACTAAAACAAACGAGCTCACAAAATTAAGAAACAAAAACTATCGGAGCATAAGCCTAACTCATGTTCTATCCACCACTGTGCTTCATTTCAAACCCAAGAACAAAAAAATAAATCAGACATAGCTCCCAAAATGCCAGTCGAACAAACAGAATACAACGCAAAGGAAACGCCTCACTTTTCCAATAAACGAATCACAGAATCAAATAGCAAAAAAGAAAGCGAGAAAGGAATGGGGATTGCAAAATCCCAAACCCTATCGAAACAAAAACACACCAAAATGTAATGTTAAACATAATAAACACAAATAAGCAGAATAAATCTCGTCAACATGCTCATTCCGAGACAGCTAAAGAACCCAAAAAGGGTGTCAAACAAAAAGAAAAGAACACGACACTGTAAGAAATTCAAGCTGAAAATGGAAAGGAGACAAAAAAAAAAAAAAACGAAAATCAAACGAATCATAACCCCATCTGAACACTTTATAGTAGTGAAAAGTGAAGAGCACAGATATTGAAATAGCAAAAACAGGGGAATAACTAGAGTGCGAGTCGTGTAAGGCATACCAGTAGAGTAAATAATTGAAGGGGCTAGAAGAATTGGAATCTGGGTATGGTTATGAGCGAATTCTGGTTCTGTAATCTGGGTTGGATTTCCTTTTCCTTTTCCTTTTCCTTTTTGTTTTTCCCTCTCCAGGCTCAGAGAAAAGGGAGAATCAGAGCTGCGTTAAATCTATCAGATGAGTTCTTCCGATTCGGGCCTTTGTGAGCGGAAGAAAGACGAAGGCCCCTTCTGGGCTGAAACGACGAGGGCTTTCAAGCGGATGGGCTACACTGGTAGCCAAGTTAAATGACCAAAATGCCCTTTGCCACCAAAAATAGCTCTTCCTTTCTCTTTGCTTATAAAGTTGCTTTCCAAATGCGAGTACTCTATAAAAACTTTATTGCTCAAAAATATATTTTTTTGGATTTTTTGTATATATATATATTTATTTATTTATTTTCTAAGCATTTTTTATTATTAAAAATTAAAAAATTATTTGAAAAATATTAAACTTATAATTATATCAATTAAATTTATTTAAAATTTGTTAGATCATACCTTTTAATAATTATTCTCAGATAAATAGTTTAGATTTATACCTGATTTTCAAATTAAATGTTTAATTGATTCAATTATAAAAGTTTGTAAAATTATTATTTTAAGATTTTTATTGATATTATTGTAAATGGTTTTTTTTTTCTTCTTTATAAGGTGAATAATAAATAAATAAATAAATATTTTAAAATATGACCAAAAAAAAAAATATATATTGTGTTAAATGCGCAAATAAATGACGTTGAAAGCTTAAATCAAATTATTAAAGAGAATTTAATTTTTTGACAATCCCAATTTTCAAATATAGCAATCTAAATTTTTAATTTTAAAATAGTAATTATTTTTTTTTAACAAAAAAACTATTTTGAATACGAGCTAGGAGTGTATATACGAAATATTTTGATTTGTTGGATTGGTGCTGGGAGAAACCGTTCACAACTCAATTCAACCCTTTATTTTAGGATTGAAATTGTTTAGGTTATTTTTTCTTTAATTACTTAAAAAATTCTAAATACTCACAGTGTATTAATAATGAAATTATTATAAATCTCAAACATTAAACATTCATGAGCTACAACATATCACTAATATCGGTTATAAACGTCAAATATTTTTAATTTTCATAATAATCTTAAAAGTAAGATTGGGTTGTAACTCAATTTTCAAGTTGGTCGGGTTGACTGACTGAAAAAATATCAACCCATGAACCAACCATTATTTTTATTTTTATTTTAAATTCAACTCAATTCAAACAAAAAAAATTTCAACCCAATTCAATTTTTATAGTTCGGGGTTGAGTAGTTTGGATTCATCGGTCCTCAAATATATTCAATTATTGAACAAGAATATTAATGTACTTTTGATTTCAATTCGAACCAACTTTTAATAAGCAACAAAGTAATATGTTTGTGACATCTTAGTAAATAAGGGATATATGAATGAATCGATACCATATTTGAATGAAATCGATCATGAGAATAAGATGACTAAATAAGGGATATATGAATGAATCGATACCATATTTGAATGAAATCGATCATGAGAATAAGATGACTAGAAATGCTTAAAAAAATTGAATGTCTCAATTTATACCAACAAGGCGCACTTTTGTTTTCAGTGGCTCAATCGTAACAACACCATGGTTAAACGTATTTTTTTTATATAGCAGTTTTATGTAGGGTGACTTTCTAAGAATTTTCATAAAATGCATATGAGTGAGAACAAAACATGTTGAAAAGATTTGTGTTGGTATATTTGGATAATCTCAACTCGTAGAAGTGAAGAGCAAGTAACGTGATCATGTCATATGGGAATGTCGGGGGCCATCAGGTGTCAAATTTGGATTCTGAATCTTAATCCAAATTTTAGGCATAGATCATTACAATGTTTGTCGATTAGTTCCATTTTAATTCGAATTCATTTTGATCATTAATAAGTAAATAAGACCTAAAGAAATAAATTAACCGAATCAACCTAACCCATAAAGATTATGGTAAGGTTAGAGATAGACCAAATACTACCAAACTTTTGGTCTTTTATTCTTTCCGGATGTGAATTCAATGAAATTTTGGTCTTTTGAGTGTTCAGAAAGCTTTGACTTTAGCATTCAATAAAACCAGATGTAAAGCTAAAGTATATTAGTTTGATTGAGACATGTACACTCACCAAATCGTTGATAAAACAATTCAACTTGAGGCAAGAAAAATAATTTTCAATAACATGTTGATCTCTATTCCTATCCCTCTCTTCTCTCAGTTTCAAAATTTATAGTTTTTGAATTTCTTAGCTTAGTGTGAAATCGAAATATACCTGCCTAGCTTAATCCGTGAATCAACGAGTGAAAGTATGAGAAATGGAGTTTAATCCCGTTTATAGCATAGAAAAACCAATCAGCCGTTTCTATATGCCTCACTCTCAGTTTTGTTTCCTTTGGTTTTGATGTCTGTGTTATTTTTTTCAATGTTACAGCATCCCTGTCATATGCGTTCTTTAGCACCAAAGGGGTTGGAAATTTCAAGAGGATGAGAATATTAATTATTAACAATAAAATAACCACTTGCAAACTTAAAAGATGTCAAATTTCTTGCTAATGAATCTCATATAGAAACCTATGGGTTTGCTTTTGCTTAACATCCTTATCGACAAAAGCTAAGGTAAGTAGGTACCTATGTCTTGAGAAGAAACTCGTACTGGTATAGCTTTATCAACAAGGTACACCTTCCATTTCAGTAGCTCAATCATAAGAAATATATAGTTAAGCATGCTCCTAACAAGTGAAAGGACATAAACCCTAAACCCTATGTCACAGAAAATAGAAGATGGGATTATGAAGTGCAAAATCCAAATTCCAAATCCTAGGCTTGGAGTGTTACGCTAAACTAGCCCAATAACTAACCATCAACAATATTATTCAGCTGAAGCTAGAATTTCAAATTTTCTTTAGGTTTTAGTCTGTGTTAGTGCGAGAGATTCTAGGGAGTATTAATAATGAGAAAAAGAATAAGCGTACAATGAAGGGAAGAAAATACCACAAAGGCCTAACAAACAAAAGAATACCAAAACATTCCAGATCTCATATTATATGCAGCCGCAGAAAGTTCATTCTTCTAAAAGCAAAACAAGATAGCAAATATAAAGAGAACAGAACACTGACATAAATAATGTGAACATACTAGGCAGCAATGGATGGCTTTGAAGCAGCAGAGAGCCTGGACCTCTTCTTGGCCAAACTCTCGCTGCGACGTTCCCTTTGCTCCTTCAACCTAGAGGCCAGGAGCTTCTGATACTCAGCAGCCTCAGACTTGGCCTTCGCAATTCTCTTCTTCTTCTCAGCAATTCTTCCTCGCTTCCTCTGCAGGGTCAGTGGGGTAACCAACCTCTGAATCTTCGGGGCTTTGCTCACCTTTTTGCCTGCCAATCAAATAAATCATCAGAAACTTGATTCCATAATGAACGGAGCTGAAAAAACAATTACTATAAATGACCAAAATGAGACTGGGGAACTAATATAACACTATTAATTTTGCTTGTATTCATGAGCATCCAACACCAAGTTGCATACGGACTATACTTACGGGACAACCACCTAAGCCTACTACATTTAGTTGTCAAAGTAACTTGTAGGATATTAAATCCGTATGGCCAACATGACCATTAACCCCCACAACTCCCTTATCTCCAGCTTTAATAAGCCCAGTCCATCTACATGTAAACAGGAGCAACATTGAACAACAATGTAATGCAAGGTTCACCTAGAAACGTTGGGACTATTCAAAGAATAGATTATCATACGAATACATTCATCCAACTATCCAATTTATGAAAGAAATATCAGACCGTGACCTGTACTTGCACCATTTATCAAGCACTGCCGCAAAATCACACACATAACCACCAGCTTACTTCGTTAGTATATGACATGTTTAGAAACCACAACAGCAAAGGCTAAGGCTATGCCATGGATGTACATAACCGTGGATTGTTCGTGGACAACGAACAAGCCTTGGATAAGTTTTTTTAATTGCTCATACATTATGCTATATCTTTTACTTGCTCAAATGTTATTCAATATCTTGGGAGTTAAGTGTTAGATCATTTTGCTTCGTATTCTTATGTATCCCTTTTAACCAACTAGGAATCTTTTTTTGATCCACTGACTCCCAATCATTTTTGTAAATTTTATACATCAATAAAATTGTTTCATATAAAAAAAAAAACCGCAAAAAGCATTTGTAAGCCATACCAGATTTTGTGGTGAATGATCTACGGTATGTGTTAACATACTTTCGAACATCATCCTCCTTTGACAGATTGAAAAGTTTGCGAATCTTGGATGCCCTCTTGGGACCCCTCATTCTTGGTTTCTCAGTGTCTGTCAAGCCAGGAAGATCGTTATCACCCTTCTTCACAATAACCAGATTCAGAACAGAAAGGTCTTGGCTGACAATGCATCCACGCACAGACTTCCTCCTGCGCTCTCCATTACGCCTACCATAACCACGGAAACAAGGGGTACCTGTCCAACAAAGTTAAAACAAATGTTTTCATTACTCATGATATTGCTATAAATTATTGAAAACAAATAATGAAGGCCACAAATATGATTAAATGGTTAAACATTCACTAGTCTAAACAGTTCCCCAAACCTCTGTGTAGTAAAAGACGGACACGGCCAGGAGTCAAAACACCCTGTTTCATTGGGAATCCCTGCTTGTCACAACCTCCCATAATCTTGAAAACATAACCCTTGAATTCCTGATAAGAGAAAAATCATCCATAGTCAACTCAGAGACAGGAACTAGGAACTAACATTTCATTTATTGTAACAGATGAGAATGCATACCTCTCCAAGGGAATCTCCACTGACCTCCTGGGAGATCCTCTTGTCAAAAAAAGCACGGCTGAACAAAGACAAGGGATAATTTTAATACATAAAGAAATTTAAACTGAAGTAAAATAATGACAAACATACATACATACAAACAAACAAACAAAAAGGAAATAGCTAGAATCTTTCTTTTTGCTCATTTAAAACTCATTAAATATTGTTTCTCGAAGAAATTGCTGCTTCACTAAGAAAAAAAATAAGGGAAAGAAAAACACAAGTAATGCAAATACTGCAGATAGATTTCTAGCGAGGTCATATATAAGCTATTTGAAATCCACCGTAATAAGATTGAACGTTAACTCAAAAATTATAACTGCGAACATATCGAACAAACGATGCTAACGCTACTCTGCTCATCAGAAGAGAGTCAGTTTATTTATTATACATCTCAAATCCCCTAGTTCCAGAAAGTCTTGCTATTGGAATAAAAAATCTAAAGATATGAAGCCACGCTTAGGTAGAACTCAGTCAAAACCAAAAGATATACTTTTCAACGTTCCATTAGACCAACTCCATATAATTATGTAATGTTTATGATATGAACATTCGACTAAGATGAACAGATTAATTAATCCACATAGAATGCACATTCATGATTAAGACAACAGATTGAAGAATAAGGGAATTCGAAAGCTAACAGTTTCTGATCATCGTCGATTTCGAGCTTCTTCTGGCATCCAGTAGTCGGATTCGCAATATTAAACTATCAACACGAAAACTCAAAGTTAGCATAGCAGTAAAACTCAAGAGATAGTCAGAAAGAAAGAAATCTACGGGGTCGAACCTTCATCTTCAAGAGCTTCGATTATAGCAGTAGCGGCCGCAGAGTGGAGACGAACAAAGAGCGAGCCGGGCCTTCAACAAGGGTTTCCAATCATGCTCCTATTGGAATTTATATGGGTGAAATTATTATTATTATTCTTTTTTTGTTTTTGTTCCAAGTAAAAATAATAATAATAACCAAACAAATCGATAGGATTTTAGATTTTGTTTAAATAAATGACGTTAATTCTTGATTCTCTTAAAATTATATATACTTATATTCATTTTATTTTTATTTAAATTCATAATTTTAAATTATTTATTTTTATTTAAATTCATAATTTTAAATTATTTATTTTGAAACTACTATTAAAAATAATTTTTAATTATTTGGAAGGTAAATTTTTGAAATATTATTAAAATTGAGTTGCAAATCTTAATTAAATATTTGAAAATAAATAAATAGATGTTTTGGACTAATATTTTACTCTTATTTAAAAACAAAAATTTAAATAAATAATCCAAACATCTCAAACTAATCTAACTCAAAACCTTTTATGGTTGAAGATGAGTTGAGTTTATTATTTAATCAAAGTTATTTGGGTTAAAAAAAATCTACAACTCGAATAATTGGATTAGGTCTAAAAGATGTTTCAACTAAATCCAATCCAACCCACGAACACCCCCTACTACAATTAGTGAATTTGCAAGACGAAGTAAAAAAAAAAAAAGACTTTTTAATGAAGCAAATGAGAGGAAATGATAGATAAACGATTTTCGTTCATATATTAACAACGAAAACTTTTTAATTTTTTTTTTATAGTTAAAAGAGTATTAATATTACTTTTGAGACTCTTAAATGGAAAGATGGAGCAAGGATCCACCTATATCCACGGTGAACTCTTCTTTGACTTTCAGAGTCTAGGTATGTGATCCTTCCTACTTAGAGATTGATTAGCAAGGATCCACCTATATCTACGGTGAACTCTTATTTGACTTTCAGATTTTAGGTATGTGACCATTCCTACTTAGAGATTTATTTTCTGGTGGTCCTTTTAGATTCCCTGTCTCGTCTCTTACGCATGCGACTAAACTACTTATTAGCGGCAAGAATTAAGCGTTTGGAGACGACAGATTTTGATTTTTTCTTTTGAGTAAATAATAAGAAGCTCCATTTTAATCCACTCTAGCACGTTCAAATTCAGACCGCCTCTTGATGAGTGGAATTTTGAAGGTTACATTGCATCGCAACAGTCATAAGTTTTATTCGATGGAGCTTTTGCTATAATATAAGGTTTTTATACCTTCTCTGAATGGATGAGGAGAACCAAAATCATATTCCTGCTTCAATGTCAACCGTTTCACTTTCGGGAAGTTGCTACAATGAGGTATGAATATGATCAAACTGCCAAGGCAACCAATAGCCATTCCTAATCATATTATTCAAAAGGGTTTGCTGCTTCTGGATTTAGATATGAACTAATGCACTCAGTTGTTGATTTGGCAGGTAAACAAGATAATTTCTAGGGAAAACAAGAATCAACAACAAATCACCAATCCACACTGCATTGCAGTCCGCCCAAAACAATCATTCTTGGATTTAGCAAGGGCGCACTGTAGTTAACCAGTTAGTGGCTGATCGTGGTTCGAAAGACTCATAGCTGATGAGAATCTACCTCATTCTAAGCAAGCATCAGCTGTTCAATGTTCTAACCTCGGTGAGAATCATAACTTTTATTTTGCTGATAGGACTCTAGACTTCATCGAATTACGATTTAGAACTTAGTTGACCATGGAAACTGAAATTTTGAGGGCGTAAAGCTCCCATGGATTGTAGCCAACCACGGGTGTTTAATGCTATCTTCATATTAACATAATTAATGAATATTTGCAACATATACAAATAATTGAGTTGATCTGTGCAGGTGAGAGGGGGGAGAGCATGGCATGGAAAATATACAGTAGAAGAAGAACAATAACCACTAACAAAATTCTAACCTCCATCGACCAAATAAGAAGCAAAACAACCATCTGCTAGTCCCATTCATCCAGCTAACCTGTCACTTTCCGTTTCTGTTTCCTCATCCCGAATTTTCGCCTTCCCCGCTTTCTAGTTTTCTTAGATGAACTAGGTTTGGCAGCAGAAGGGGTTTCTGTCTTGTGTTGCATGTCAGGCTCCTGGATTCCTGAGGCTAAGTCAGCTGGAGAAGTGATTTGCTCCTCCAATTTCAGAGTCTGCTCAATAAACTGACCATTAACCTCTTCATGAATTTGCGCCTCTTCCTTGACTGCAGAATCTTGCACCAGAACTTTCTTAGTCTGCAAACATACAAGTGGATTCCATGTTTAGAGCTACAATGTTGCAAGTCCATATAAGGTGGTGAGCGATAAAAAACTTCAGCTCAGTATTAGTCCCTCGGTCTGTACGTATCAAAGATCACATTTGTTGCAAGTCGATGTAGACAAAAGCCATTATTTCTTAACTTTGATTGGAATGAAATCAAAGAGTTCCATATATTGGTGATATATTGCGATGTAGTGGAGGAAACTTACACTTCTTCCACAATCCGCACTCTGAATCATATCAGGAAGTAGCATGACCTCTCCATGACTCGTAATTGCATTTTCAGGCATAAGAACATCAAATGCGTCCTCAGACATGTGTTGTGATGCTTCATGCAAAGACCTAACGAACACATCATTTCCATCTTCTGGTGAAGCGGGATCGTCACTTGATGCAAGCATGTATATCTGATTGATTGAAGAAAACTTCATGGGATTTTCATTCACCACCTTGTCAATTCTGTTCTTCAACTCATGAACTCTTGACTGCGCAGCTTCAATTTTTAGAAACATCTCTTCCAAATTATTATCATTATCTCCTAACATAGAAGATGGCCATCCGTCAGTTGCAATTGTCTGGAAGTCATTGATGCCATCATGTCTCATATTCTTTGTCTTGTCTGTAGAGATCAGAGCAGAGAATCAAACTTACTATTGTTACCAAGAGCTCTCCGTACATATATTGTCTTTTCAAACTTAAAATGGGCTATTCTTTTAACTATGAGATACAGGCTTATTTGTTTATTAAGAACATCTATAACAATGGAAACACAAAATAAGGGTAAAAAAGTACCGGACATGATCATGAAGCTCACTCTAATTAGCATAAATAAAGGAGGCACGATTACAAGAAGTTCAAAAGTGTCGCTGTGAAGCACGAATAAGTCAAATAGGGTCCTTATGGTCGTTACAAACAAAATGATATAATTGATCATGTACAAAAAATAGAGGAGATGTCCCAATAAAGCCAAGGGGATTTAAAAAAAGGGCTCTCAATGGGCCGAAATATGCATCAAACCACAATTACAAAGCTTTATAAACTCTTTGTAAAGAGAACACCAAGTAGCGAGGTGAGTGTTCCCCTTGAAAAATCATGTTGTTTCCGTCAAATGTCTCCAAAAGAAGGCCACCACCACATTGTAGCAAAGGATCTTGGAAAGGGACAATAAATTATTAATGGGAAAGACCCAGCTAAGATTGAAACTTTTGGATAGTTCTTTCGTATCTTTCCAACCACTTCTCACAGAAATGTCATCAGAATTCACATTTTGAAACGGTTTTAGGTTTCTGTCTCCAGGGATGCCCACAAAATGATTGTCCAGGTTTCCAACAAAATCTTTAACATTTTTCGGTAAGATAAGGAGAGACTACACATCCAACATATTCTAACCCCAGCATTTGGAAGTATAGAGTAGTAGAGAAAGACGAGGTCTAGGTCTTCCAAATTCTGTTAGCAGAGATTACCTAGCATGTAAGGATGTCTCAATTGCACCATGCCCGTAACGTTTAACCCCCTGAAAACTAGGGACCAAAGAATAACCTTGAATTTTCTGTAAATTTTCTTCCAAATAGTCCTTAAAAAGGTTAACAAAGGTTTCACAATTTTTAGTAAGATGGGCAGCAAATGATTTACAGGAATAATTACGAGACTTGTCCATAAGATGGAATATCTCTGTTGGTTAAGTTCACAACCATCAAGAATACTCACCAAGATTGCCTATTCGTACTCCTCCAATGCTATTTCAATTTAAGTTATTCTAAATAAAAGACTCCATCCCCCTTCTTATAGGATTCCAAGAATCTTTTATGAAAAAGGTTTTCAAACTAGCCAGTTAGAAGAATCTGGGGACTATACCTTTTTTTTTTGATCAAAAATCTCGGGACCATGTTTTCAATGGCTGATTAGTAATAATCCACAAATCTCCCAAAAAAACAGTACATCATCCATCATCCATCATCCAACATAAACCTTTAGGAACGTCCAACCTCTTCCACTAATCCCATTATTAATAGCAGAAAACCAGAAAATCCATCGACTTCAAAATCTGCTAGCTATAACAGAGCCATAAGGAATCCAGTTTGTATTAAGATCAACACATTCATTAAGAAAGCAAGAATATTCTCGCTTAGGTTTCTCAAGCTCAAGCAGCCTACGTCAATGCAGAGAGCAGTGTGCCACTTGCACATTTTCCTTTCAATAATATTGACAGCCATACTCAAAAATCTAGGAAAGGGATAAAAAATTATTATTGGTATGCTGAGAAGGCTTTATTGTAACAAAGTGATGTAGCCTCCTCTAGAGGGAGCCATATTTTTCTATCTAGCTAGCTTGTCAGGTTCCTTTCTACCATGGTCCATGAGTTTCCTTTCTACATGGTCCATGATATAGCCTCCCCTCCGAAGGCTACCTGTGCAGGTTAATGGCCAACCAAAAGCAGCAGTTATGCCTAGTTTTCTAAGCTAGAACTTCCTCATTATCCACATAGATTCCACCTAACAATCTATCTAGAAATAGAAGATTTCCAGAGTGAAATGTATGTGGCATAAGATGCTTCTTCCAAAACCCAAGTGCAATAGATATATATCAGCTACCAATAAAATTGGAAAATCCGTTGGATGGTTACATATATTCCAGAAAATATACATCACTGTCATATCATTTATCTTCCCCTCTGCTTTACGTTTCCTTGTTTATATCATTTATTTTGTTTGGGTTGCGTCATACATTGTTTGATAGGGAGACGACGGAGGTTCTAACTCTCCTTTGTTTCATTGAAGAGGTAGAGTTTATGCCTAGGAGGAGGGATTTTCATTTATGGAGTCTTAGCACGTCTAAGGGCTTTTCTTGTAGCTTGTTCTTTCATTGGTTGTTGAATCTCTCTCCTCCTCACGAGTCTTTTTTTTTTTTGTTCATTTGTGGAAAGTTAAAGTTCCATAAAAGATTAAATTCTTCATCTAACAAGTTATCCATGGAAGAGTGAATACTCTTGATAGATTTATAAGGAATATCTTAATTGGTTGGTCTGTTGTGTTGCATAATTTGTTAGAAGGCTTAAGAAGACGTGGATGTATCTAGTGGAGATGTGATTTCATCCGGTCCGTTAGAGATCTTTTTTAGGTGTTTGGTTTTCAGTGTGCCAGCAGATATGTGGTAGGGTGATGATTGAGGAGTTCCTTTTCCATCTGGATTTTCGCGAGAAAGGAAGGTTTTTGTGGCAAAGTTGGGTTGTGCGCCTTGATATGGGGATTTGGGTGAGAGAAAAATAGAATCTTTCGAGGAGTTGAAAGGAACCCTTCTAAGGCGTGGTCCGTTGTGAGGTTCAATGTTTCTGTTTGGGCATCAGTGACGAAACTTTTGTGAGAGTACTAGTATTGTATGCTATGGAATATAAATGAAGATTTAGTAGCATGTTAGTAAGGGGCACTGTGGCAATTAGTTAAGGGTGTCTTGGTTATAAATAGGAGTGTTGGGGACCTTAAAAGGTGCAGAGCATTTTGGCGGAGCGTCCGTTCAGGGACCTGGGAGAGAGATAGTCTTCTCAAAAGGCTATTGTTATATTGTAGTTTCTCTTCGATATTGCAAAATTATCTCGTCTTTTTCTACATATTTGGGTACCTAATAGCTTTTTTGTAATTACTCTTTAACTTATCTTACTGGATTGGAGTCCCCTTCTTTAATAGGACTTCCTTTTATGGGCTTTTTTTATGCCCAGAATGAAAGTTGGTACTGCCTCAAAAAAAAAAGAAAAAAAAAGGAAAAAAAAAGAAAGAAAAGAAAAAAAAAAAAAAAGGCATCACTCTCATATTAAAGACCTCCAAAATAGGCTTTGCAGATTGACAGTCAGGTCTTTGCATGAGTTTCTTCTATTAGCAGCATGGTCTGTAAATATTGTTATGTCAGTCTTATCATGAAATCTGATGAAGACGTTATAATCAGCATCATGCTGAGCTGATTCTCTCTAAGCAGGTCTCCTTTGTAAGGCATCACATCACTTTCTTATGATGTTCTTATTCTCTTGATCTATGAAGGCTTAATTTTAATATCTTTGGCTTGGAAATGGTTTCCAACATGATAGGTAGGAACTAATTTTGTAGAACGTTAGTATAGAAATGATAAAAGAAAAGATGTGGAGCCTCCAAAAATAACTATACTCCGGTTTCTCTCTACCTCCAAACTTTCAATACCCTTCATAAACCATCTCCCGATGACAAAAATGCCTTCCTAATATTGTATTAATATTCTTAATATTTCCCTACTAATATCCCTAACACTAGTTCACCACGAAACCCACCTAGTCCTTCCTAACACCCTAGAAACGCCAAAGAATTTATGTATTGAGACTCTTTCTAGCGATCCTAGAAAAAGAAAAGCTGATTTTATGGCTCAATATTGTTAAAACTATCATCTAAGAGAAAAGGAAAATAATTGGGAGGTTCTAAGTTTTGTTATTTCTCTTGGAAGCATCTCCATAAAGATTGTAAGTTCATTTGGATCAAACGTCAAACCCACATATGGAGAAAAGAAAAGGGATAACAAAATCACATACCTTCAAAAAAAAAAAAAAAAGAAGAAGATAAACATAAATTTTTAAGAATCAAATATCAAGTGTAGAGCTAATTCATCTAACAGTCAAAGACTTAAAATAGCTTTCACTCCTCCATTTATTATTAATCCGCAGCAAAATCCTATTCAACAATGTACAATTTAATGATATCAACCGAAATAATAACTTCACTTACTTAATTTAAGAGAAGTACCTTCTGAAGATATGTCATCAGCGACAGACCTCTTCTTCTCTGGAATAACAAAAGAATACTACAATGTCATAGAGGGAGACACTAGGAAAAAAGGACTAGCATAGAAATAGTTGAGGACTTGATACCATAATATGAAAACAAATTGTGATGTGCCATATATGAAGCTACTTCAGTTGTCTCTTCATTTTTCTTCCTTTTCTTTCTTTTCATTATTCTGTCTCTTTGAGTGTGACTTGAGAATCCTGTTGACTTCACATCAAAATCTTCCGTTGAGAATTGCTCATAGACAGACTGCTTTCTTTGATCATATAATGCAAGTTCCCTATCATATTTAGACGATTGAGACTGAAGTTTCCTAATTTTCAATTCTAACCATCTACACCGCCACGTCACAGGACTTATAAACTTTTTCCAGTGATCTGTCAACTTTTTCTTCCTGTAAAGTAAAATACAAATATTAACACGTGAATATATATGAAGTTGTGAGAAAAGATAACATATTTGAGACCTTGACTTTGATTCTACGAGTCAAATTTTTTTTGCCTTGTTCTTGCAATGTCAGCCTTGCAAGGTGAAAAAGAATAGAGTCTTTAACATCTTTAGGAATGGAATAGGCAGGTGTGCCCTAACCCATGAGTCAAAACTCAACCAAGTTAAATAAAGCTAGTTGACTCGTATTTATCCTACAAAAAATGCATATTTCAAAAGATTTACAAATTTAAAAAAGACAAATTCAATTCAGTTTGGTTTGACTTCACATGGCTTACCTTTTTCTGTTCTTTTTTCTTGGGGGGGGGGGGGGGGGGGGGNATTGACGAAAAAATCAAGGGCATACAAAAAACAATCTCCTCCACATAAAAATAAAAAATAATAAAAATAAGAAAAGAGTTTGGCCCTGCCTACATAAAAAACTTCAATCCAAAAGAACAATACCAAAATTATAATTACAAAAAATACTAGAGACCGAAGCTCACAACGAAATATTAAACCTAGTCACGTCGCAAACCCTCCACACTCACTTTCTTGACCTCTCTAAAAATTCTATTGTTCCTCTCACAGCCCAAATACCCACAAAACTGCTAAGAAACTCGCTTGCTACAACACTTTGTCCTTCCTCCAAAAAGGAGGATTTAGAAGCACCTCCTCCATCATAAGGGGAAACATGCAACCAAGTCACTGACAACCAAATCAATACAAAATATACTCAGATGTGATATTTTTTATAGAGCTAGAAATCCATACATGATATTTGTGATCTTCTTTGTGTCAATTATAGTTTCATTTTGACATAACAGACTTGTTCATTACGACTTATTTGGACTACAAAAAAAGAAAAAGAAAAAAAAAAAAAAAACTTTCATTGAGAAAAAAAAAAATGAAAGAATGCAAAAGGTTCAACAATAGCTAACTAAAATGAAAAGGGCTCAAATCTAAGAGAATAAGACTTAACAAATAATTGTTTTTTGTTTTTAGAGAGATAAAGAGAAAGTAATTACAAAATTCTTTAGAAACAGATGCCCAACCAAAGGGATAAACCTAGCTAAAGATCAAACATCCTCCACTGAACACTTCACATCCTTGAAGATCCCGTTTATTCATTATAAGATGGTTTGCATAATTTTTGAAACTATGAAGTCAAATCATCCCCCTTGTAACAGACAATTTAATGACCAGACAATAAATAAATTCCCTTCTATCCCTCCTAGAATAAGTACACAACAGAGAAACCTACCATACTCAATTAGATGGGAAAGTACAATAAGCCGATAACTTAATAGAAAAAATCACGCAGCCGAACTGAATTCAAGCAACTATTGCTATCATTTGGGAGTTTGGTTGGACAGTGATCAGAGTACATCCAGAGACGAGGACTTCAATTCTCTTTTGACAAGGTTCTTTTCTTAGCTTCTGATTGAAATTCACTAGCAAAGTATTTCAGATATACGTGTCTATTGACACATCTGTGTTATAGTATATCTGTGAATTTAGGAACTATTGGTCTTTTGTCTTTTACTGTAATTTTACTATTATTAGTTTAGGGCTCCCATGTATGAGATTCTCCCATATTTTGGTCTCACAATGCCATGGTATCAGAGCACTAGGTCTTTCTGAGGGCAACTTAGGTTTTGTGAGTTATTCAAGATTTGTGAACATTAAGGGTTTGAGATTTGGAACACATTCTTGGCGGATTTGGACCATTGCCATCAGGATCCGCTGCCGCCACCACCAAGGTCCATCGCCAAAGTACTTTTTGACACCGCCAAGCCCAAAAGATAGCCCAATTGCCAATCAGCAGGGCTTCCATGCATGCTTATGCATATTTGAGTCTACTGTATAGAATGAATGTGATTTTCCAACGTTTTGGTCTCACAATAACAAAACCAAATTAGAAGAGTTGAAAAGGCTGTAAAAAAAAATTTAATCTTGAAGCAAAGACGAAAAAAGATGAGAATCATTCCATGTTAATCAATATTAATCTCAAAGGAAAACTTGAATTTGGAAGCTCAAGGAAAAAGGATAAACATTCCAATCTCTGTACAGCAATGATGGCATATGAGAATCAGTTTTCAAATCATTCATCCACCAAGAGCACAAAATTAAGCATGGAGAAAAAGTGGGGAAAAACGAACAAATAATTGAAGCACTTAGGAAAGGAAAAAGAAAAGATATATGTACTACCTTGGAAATACTTCTCTGCATCCATTAGATATAGGCTGCAAATTATTATCATCATATAATTGGGATTCAACTTCTTCGTCATCCAATAACAAACCATAATCTGTTCCAGAAACAGTATCACCAAACGAGCTTGAATATTCGGTTGAATCATTGCATTCACTACTAGGACCTCCCTCACAATTATCTGTACACCCAATAATATCAATCTCCATATCCTCACTTCTTTCGTACATCATACTTTGTTCAACAGATGGAGCTTCCATGCCATGACTTTTTTCCTGACCACTACTCGTACTCTGCTTATCCTGAGCAGCATTTTTGTCCTCCACACACCTTGAAATCTCCATCAAAGTTTCCTCCACTTTTGATCCATTTTCAGGTCTCATGCTAATATAGGCCCAAATTAAGGCCCTCTTTTGTACAATCAGGCAATTACATCTAAACAAATGAACAGCATCAGAACGCAATACACCTACACCAATACTTATTCAGAGTATATCAGAAGTACCTAAAGTACGCAAAAATATTTTAAGCCTTCCAAATGTAAATAGCATAAAGAAAAATTAAATTGAAGGTCCAACAATTGATTGTTCATATCCTACATCTGTTTCCACAAGAAGATGCTACTTATAGGTTGAAAAAAAAATAAGTAAAGAAGGACTTCATTGAAGAACTCATTAATTCTTGTTTGAAATCCATGAGCACATGACAGAAAGAACAGAATTGCCTCACTACTTTCATTCAAAAGCAAGAAGAAGATGAAGAAATTGGTCTTCACCTCACTATCAATCTTTCTTCTCGAAAAGCAAATTTCTTCTCGAAAAGCAAAGGGAGATAACGCATAGAGATTGAAAGATCAATAAACACAGATCATATAGCCAAAAATAGGACCAAGTTAGTGAACGGTAGCACAAAACACAAAAGCCTCCGGGAAGAAAATCAGCAAAGAAAAGCATTTCACCAATACAAGAAGTGAGAAACGAACAAGGACAACTATCGTTACACTCCGATCAAAAAATCAACAAACAAATAACAGTCCATGTAAGGTCAAAGGGAAAAGTTCACCATCACCCCTGAGATTCTTCAACAAATTGCATAATCCATTTGGGACAAGAAATCTTCAAAAAAATAACTCGAAAATTGAAACGTATTATTAATTAAATTTCTCGAGCATCAGAATAATGCCATGTTGACTGAACTGTGGCAACAAGTTCACACTTTCAAGAGACAAAAAGAAAATCCTCTTCCCGATTCTCACTCCTTGAACGAGATAAGGAAGAACCAACCTGGTTTGGGGGTCAATCGATTTCGAACAGTTCTTCTGCCCGAACTCGTCGATCGGCGAGTGAATCGAACGCAACGGAGGCTAGGGATAGCCGGACGACGACTTAATGAAGTCAGATCCGGCGAAATGAAGGGGAAAAATGAATGAAAAGAGGAAGAAAGTGAACGGAATTGAGCGAAAACTGTACCGTGAGAACGTGGGAAGAATTTACGCCAGAACAAAACAGAAACACAGCCAATTTTGGTTTCATTATATAGTTTTATGATGCAAAAAATGGACCCCATCATGTATTAATAATGGGGTCTACCGCCCCCTATTTTCACATGATTTTCCATTCCTGATTCATCTGTCTGGTCACACAGTGTCCAAATTAAACCCCCTCCCGCATCCACAATAAAATTCATTCCGCTTCTGATACCATCATCCTTATTACTCACCCATCACCTAATCAATATCTTAATCACCGTTTAATTATCAATTTTATCTCTTAATTTCTTAATTTCAAAAATTTTATCTATCTGGTCCATAAATTTTTTAAATTATAAATTTGGTCCCGTAATTTTAAAATTTTTGCTTAAATAATCCTTAAATTTTGTTAAACACGTTGAGAATTAGAATTTCTAAGAATGATACATGATATTTTTGCCACTACTGTTATTAGCTTCGAGTGTAGGGATAGCTCGATGGGCTTTATTGCCCGCATAGAAGAATGCATCGAGTGCTTAGACAATGCCTAACAAGCGATCGTTTAGATGATCTCAGAAAATGTATGAAGATTTGAGAGCAGTTCTTGGGCTGAAGTGGTGAATCTGAACGCCAGATTAGACCTCACCATGAGAGCAGTGAGAAACCAAACCCCATCTAGACGTGTAGTGCAATTCAACAAGATAAAGACCCCTGAGGCAAAGCCCTTCGGTGGAGTTCGAGATGCCAAACCTCTAGAGAACTTTATCTTCGAACTCGAATTTCAAACCACAATATCCTTGCAAAGGAAACAAAGATCACATTCGCAACAATGCATAGAAGCAAAATTGTGGTGAAGATCCAAGTACATGGATATTCAAGATGGCTGATGCACTATGGACACAAGAGCTTAAAACAAGAACTCCACTCTCAACTCTTCCCAAGGTATATGCTAACAAAGTCATCGTTGATTATTACTCGCTTTTAGCTCGTAACATTTCTTTCTTTAAAATTGTTTTCAATATATTTCCTCGCTCACATTTTTCAAACATTTCTCTACCCGAGGTTAAGCACACGTTAATATTATCTGCAAAGTCCAAAATTCACATGATTGAATCGTTAGCTGGGTTGAAACATAGTTATTTGATTTTCAAGCATTCTATTCCCGAACATTATTCTCATCACAATTCATTAAAATCACACCATTTATTAAACAACTCCACCTTCAAATGGATAGACATTTAATTAAATAAAGTTGAGTAACTAAACATCCTCAATTCATTTTCAACCACTCCAACTGCAAAAATGAGAGCTAAACATTGTACAATCTTTAGCATATTTAGAACTTCTATCATTACAAGCAAAATATCATCAAAACCAATATTAACAAAAAAAAAAAAAAAAAAAAAAAAAAAAAAAAAAAAGAAAGAAAAGAAGGTTTCAAGGTAACGTGATTCTTTTCGACTCCCTGCATAAAGTACCGTCGGTATATATGAACTCTACTAGAATGGGACCGAGCATACAGGAAGAACATGCTTCGAAAACGACCTTTTTGATGCCTGATAAAAGTTGTACACCAGGAAGTAACATTGAAGCTGAGAAGGCGAACCACATAGTTTGTGAACTACTTGGCAACAGAAACTCGGTATATGATTAATGGGGCATTTACAAGCGCGACTGGTTCGGTCGGGCATGCCATGCAGCTCATTTAAGCTCCATGAGATGAGTTGCACAAGAAGTCAGCATCTGTTGGAGATTTATATTGAACTTGTCATTAAAGGGAAGATTCAATGTTGTGATGCTCTAAGTTTCTAAGAACAATTCTAGCAAAGATCTTGGCTTGCAATGGAGCAGTTGCTGCTGCAGCTGCCGTACGCAGGGCTCTCGATGCTCCTGCATTCTGCATAAGGCTTGCATGGTGTAAGGCATGCCGACCCCCTGGGATCGTAAACTGCATATCGAAGAGTACGAGTATTGAAGAAAAATTGTGCAAGATAATCAGAAGAAATACTATGAACTAAATCTGTATGTACCTGTAAAAGAGCAAATGCTGCACATGCTTTTAGTGTAGGTGATGGATTTCGAAGCATTGTAATAAATCTTCCAATTTCAGCTCCACTAACAATTATGGAAAATTAAAGTAAGATTAAATGGGCATGAGAATACGAGCGTAATTTCTCGAAGGGGTTTGAGTAAACCTGCATCGAAGATGGCCCGCTTCTTGAATACGAGCTCGTTCTGTTACTTGAACCAACGCTGCGGGTGCCGAGGATGCAGCAGCAGAGGCGAATGCTTGTGGGTCTGAAAACGTTTGGACAAAGGCTTCAATGTTCTTTAATGCCATCCTTCTAGCCCCATCTAAGCTCACACTCTTGGAAATGCCTTCTGATGAGCTTCCTGGTAAGGCACATTCGTCCATTCTGCAAAAAAAGTTGAAATCAATCAGCCAAGTAATTCTTTTTCAAAAACATGAAGGCAGCATGTCGAATGGTCGATGTACCTTCCATCGAACATGTAAGCTAACGCCAACGCAGCCATGAAGCGAGCCATTTTCGAAACTGATGCATAACAAAGATGAACTAAGGCTGGAACACCGCCTTCCTCCACAATGCAAAGGGCGTTATCTGGGTTAAAGGCAAGATTCCAAAGCGCTCCAGCAGCAGTCTCGTGAACATCCTGAAGATTGAAGGGCATTATCGGTTGAACGTTCGAACATATTTCACAAGCAAAATTTAGTGTTCCTTATCAAGAAACTAAAGAATAATTTGAAATGCTTACTTCGGTGTCTGAGCGTGCTAAAGCAATTAACGGCGCAACGCCCCCTTGCTGACCAATAGCAATGCTAAAAGAAACCCCAAAAGGTTGAAGGTTAGAATTAAACCACAAAATCAAAGAGTTAAACCTGATCATTATTGATTTTATACCATCCAAGCCTCAAATTTTATACCTGTTCGCTTCCGAAACCGACAATCCCCACAGAGCACCAGCTGCCCTTTCCTGAAGACCCGGGGATGCGTTTGAACAAGATTGTGCTAGAGCAACCTAAATTAAAAATAACGATAATATTTAATAAATAATGACGTAAATGCAGAAGATTGGTGAGCTTATCATCAATGTTGTCCTCGAGCTCGAACATATATGTTAATCATCCCCAGCTTGTTACAAAGATAATTTATACGAACTCCGTTTAGCTCTTACTTCAACAAATCTTTGTATGGATTAAAACAAAATCCACAATCATGGTTTGTGCATAACAAGACGTGCTTTTAATTGAGCGACAGAGCCATCAAGATTGAGCTTAACTGCAAACACGTATTTATCCAATAGATTTCTTCGTATAGGACGAGAACATGAGGAATCGGTTTTTTAAGATTTCATGCAGGCAAAATTAATGGTGGGAGATACCGAGTCAATCTCCGCAATAATGAGACTGAGAGGTGATTCAACAGCATGTAGGATAGGGTCATATTATTCTTTCACTTCCCATATTAATTCTTTTCGATCTTTATTGATTCAGACATTGTACGAGAGACGATCAGCTTTTAGAGCAATGAACAATTTAAAGTAAGAGGTTAAAGAACTTACCAATGCCTCGACACCACCTGCAGCTGCAATCGCTTCTCTATTTCTGTCATCAAATGATAAGTTCCATAGGGCTCCAGCAGCTTCTTGCCTGTACCATGAGACAAAAACAATATATTGGATTAAAACCTACTTATGTACTTAACCCAAGATCCAGTAGTTTCTCGCACAGAGTTTTGATACAATTGTAAGAAAAAGATGCAGAAGCCCATCCTATGAATGGTCTAATTTAGTTGCAATGTTAGAGGTATTTGTTCTAATTTGTTAAAATGAAACCTCTGCAAGAAAAATTTTCCCACGAACATATGTTCAAACTGAAGGTCATACGCTAGTCCTGAATTGTGAGATCCCACATCGGTTGGAGAGGGGAACAAAACATTTCTTATATGGGTGTGGAAACCTCTCCCTAGTAGACGCGTTTTAAAACCTTGAGGGGAAGCCCAAAAAAGACAATATTTGATAGTGGTGGGCTTGGGCAGTTACAAATAGTATCAGGGCCAGACATCGAGTGATGCGCCAATGAGGACGCTGGACTCCCAAAGTGTAACGACCCAGATCCACCGCTAGCAGATATTGTCCTATATGGACTTTCCCTTTTGGGCTTCCCCTCAAGGCTTTAAAACGTGTCTGCTAGGAGAAAGTTTCCACACCCTTATAAATGGTGGTTTGTTCTCCTCCCCAACCAATGTGGGACATCACAATCAACCCCCCTTCGGGGCCCAACGTCCTCGCTGGCACTCTTTCCTTCCTCCAATCGATGTGGGACCACCCCCAAATCCACCCCCTTTTGGGGCTCAGCGTCCTTACTGGCACACCGCCTCGTGTCTATCTCCCTTCGGAGAACAGCGAGAAGGCTGGCACATTGTCTAGTGTATGGCTCTGATACCATTTGTAACGACCCAAATCCACCGCTAGCAAATATTGTCCTCTTTGGGCTTTCCCTTTCGGGCTTCCCCTCAAAGCTTTAAAACGTGTCTGCTAGGGGAAGGTTTCTACACCCTTATAAATGATAGTTTGTTCTCCTCCTCAACCAATGTGGGACATCACACAAAGGGAAGTGGATTGTGAGATACCACATCAGTTGGAAAGAGGAACGAAACATTCCTTATAAGGGTGCGAAAACCTCTCCCTAGCAGACGCGTTTTAAAACCTTGAGGGGAAGCGTAGAAGAAAAAGTCCAAAAAGGACAATATCTGCTAGTAGTGGGCTTGGGCTGTTACAAATGGTATTAGAGCCAGACACCGGGTGGTGTGCCAGCAAGGACGCTAGGCTCCCAAGGGGGGTGGATTGTGAGATACCACATCAGTTGTAGAGGGGAATGAAACATTTCTTATAAGGGTGTAGAAACCTCTCCCTAGCAGACACATTTTAAAACCTTGAGAAGAAGCTGAGAAGGAAAAGCCCAAAAAGAACAATATCTGCGAGCAGTGGGCTTAGGCGGTTACATGAACTCTTAGAAAGATCAATACTTTTGACTTACCAAACAACCTAGCTTAATCGCATTCTTTCACGATAGGATAATAGTTTACAAAAGAAAAAAAAAAAAAAAAAAGCTATTGGATCATACCTGACACCTTCATGAGGAGAATGTGTGAGTTGGACAAGTGCTTCAAGTGCACCTGCCTCTTGTCCAACAGCAGAGTTGTTTGTGTTGCTATCACCGTGGGCAGCCAAATTTGCCAATGCGCGAGCTGCCTGAAATTTTCAAATTCGAAACTTTGAAAATTTAGACTTACAGATTGAACAAACAAAAGTATCAACAAAAGAAAAGGGCCAAACAAAATTATAATAATCTTCAAAATACTACAATTAACATTTTGTGGTACGTAGTGGCAAATTTGTAAGGATCTGCCTCACAATGTATTGACCTTCCGACATAATTCTTGCCCCAAGGCAACACAAAAACACACTCAGCCGATTAGAGAGGGTCGGTAATCTCTCCCTTTCCCTTCTCAAGCTAATTCTAACCCATGGCCAACCTTGCCCCAACATTCCCAACACTCAGGAGCTCCTTACCTTCACGATTCAGCCCTTTTAACTAACTTCACAGAGGGAACATTCCCAACACTCAGGAGCTCCTTACCTTCACGATTCAGCCCTTTTAACTAACTTCACAGAGGGACAAAATTTCCATGGCCCCTGATTGATCGTTGGTTCGGTAAGCAAAAGAATCTTCTATTCCCATAACCCTTTAAAATACATCAGTTAGTATAGGTGGCCCAACTTGGGTTTCAGCATGATTACCAATCCATAACCCTTTAAAATACATCAGTTAGTATAGGTGGCCCAACTTGGGTTTCAGCATGATTACCAATCTTCTGTTCAATGCTATATGGCCCTACTATAAGTGCCCAAAACAATGGCCATCAATTCTGATTCATTTGCAGACTTAGTTTGAGCTTTGGCTGATAAGGTATGGCTAGAAGGTGATAGGACGCTTTTTCAAAGATAACAGCAACCAAATTGGTTCTTGAAGTGTCGATTTTGATTATAAACTTGGTTGAAATTGCAGCGTGACCGTGCCCCTTTTCAAATTTTTCAAAAGCTTTGGTACCTTGCTCATTCTATTCAAATGCCCCCTTCTTCAACAACTAAGATAGAGAAGTTGTTTTGCTTCCATACTTTAGCACAAATCTATGGAATTCACTAGTCAATCCAAGGAAACCACGTAAATCTTTGATCGTTTGAGGGAGAGGCCCCTTAATCATGGATCTAACCTTCTCGGGATCTGTTGCTACTCCTTCAATCGAAACCTGATGGTCGACATACTCTAATCTAGTCCTTCGCAAAGTGACATTTCCCTAAGTTTTATATATATATATAATGGTCGACATACTCTAATCTAGTCCTTCGCAAAGTGACATTTCCCTAAGTTTTATATATATATATAGAAGTGGCGTAGGTGTTCACATAGCTAGAACTACAAATCGATATGTCATCAGAGAAAAAACCAAAATGAACATACATAGGAACAACCTGAAAATTCAGTTCATTAGAGCTTGGAATGAGGAGGGAGCATTGATAAGGCCAAATGGCATAACGAGGAGCAATTCAGTTCATTAGAGCTTGGAATGAGGAGGGAGCATTGATAAGGCCAAATGGCATAACGAGGAGCCCATGGTTGCCTTTATGAGTCCTCAAAGTGGTTTTTCTCAATGTCTCATTCAGGCACACGAGTCTAGTGGTAACCGAATTTCAGATCAATTTTGGAATAGATGGAAGATGTCTCATTCAGGCACACGAGTCTAGTGGTAACCGAATTTCAGATCAATTTTGGAATAGATGGAAGATCCATTCAACTCATCCTCGAGTTCTTCAAATACTGGAATCGAGAATTTACCTAGTAGTGTGGTATTGTTCATCGCACGATAATCTATACAAAACCGCCACCCTCCATCCTTCTTTTTCACTAAAAGCAGTATTGTTCATCGCACGATAATCTATACAAAACCGCCACCCTCCATCCTTCTTTTTCACTAAAAGCACCGAGCTAGAGTATGGGCTAACACTTAGTTGAATGATCCCCGAGGCTAGCATTTCCTATATAAATTTCTCTATTTCAATACTCTGCACTTGGGGATAACCATATGGACGGACATTCGCCGATGATGTATCCTATTTCAAATGAATTCGATGATCAATGTTTCTTATTGGGATAATCCTTCAGGCAATTAAAACATGTCTTTATACTCTTGCTACAATTGAAGCACTAAAGCCGATAACTCATCCTTCAGGCAATTAAAACATGTCTTTATACTCTTGCTACAATTGAAGCACTAAAGCCGATAACTCATCAACTAGAACAAATATGACCAAGTTTAAGGAAGGAAAGACTCAAGCAAAAGCCTAGACTATTCTTCTTAAACGAGGTAAAGCAACGAAGCTCCCTGATTGAACTCGAGTTGAACTATCTCTTTGATTGAACAAGACTCTAAATAGGTAGATGTTTGTTTGTTTTAAGTCTGGTTTAAGGAAAGATTAATGAGAATGACAAGACTCTAAATAGGTAGATGTTTGTTTGTTTTAAGTCTGGTTTAAGGAAAGATTAATGAGAATGGGTCACACGGCTAAGTATTGAAACAAGCACCAAAGCTTTGAACTTAACCAAAAAGCCTTGGTTACTCTTCCATGTTTTCATTGTGTTCTTAAAAGTTACCCTTTGTCTTGGTTAGACTCGAATCCCCGTTAAGAACAATTTAATCATCCCCCATCCCTAATGTGATCATTAGTGTCATCCAATTTACATTGGTTTCCCCCAAAGTATGAGCCACTCCAATCCTAGCACCACATCTACCCCCCTAATTCAAGGGGTAAGAAGCTCAAGTTGATCGTTAAGTTCCTTAGGTTGAAGACCACTCCTTTACAAGTCCCTCTTCCCCTCATGGCCACCCTAGATCCCATGATCACGCCATAATTGGTTGTTTCCATAATTGACAGTTTCAAACTATCCTCTAACCTTTGTGCTATGAAGTTGAGGGTTGCCCCACGAGCGATTAGGACCACTACCTCTTGCTAATCGATTGCCTTTTTCATCTTAATTGTGCTCGGAAGTAAAACCCACTACCTACTTAAGTTAACTTTTGAACCTTTTCCTTTATACTCTCGATGTGTTGAACCTTCTCCTTAATGCCTCGAATCTCCAGTTCAATGATATCCAATCACTCATTAATTCTTTTCTGGGCATTTTACCAATCTTACCCAAGTTGTCAGTTCAATGATATCCAATCACTCATTAATTCTTTTCTGGGCATTTTACCAATCTTACCCAAGTTGTGATACTCTACTGCCAATATGCAAGGATCTATCTCCCAATGTATTGATATTATGAGACAATTCTTGCCCTGCTACCAATATATAAGGATATGCCTCCCTATGTATTGATATTTCGAGATAATTTTTGCCCTTAGGCAATACAAAACGCTCACAACTTTATGTTGTTTAAAAGGGTGGTTGGTAACAATAAGCACATCCATAGGGTAGAACCACACTCCTTCCGAACGTCTTAAAAAGATATGCCCGTATTTTCCAAGAAAAAGGGTCATGAACAAAAATACGATTTTGTGATTCGGTCTATTCTTTACACAAATAATTTAGACTTGCAACACTTATCATAATTCTCCTTGATAGAACCTCATGTATACTTTCGGGATCATTTCACACCATCAATGAAATGTTCATGTGTCCGACAAAAAAAGAAAAGAAAAAAACTTTCGGGATCATTTCACACCATCAATGAAATGTTCATGTGTCCGACAAAAAAAGAAAAGAAAAAAAGAACGATTTTTGTCATATTTTTATGTTCGCTCGATTTTGTATCTTTTAGCATAAGCCTCTTTTCATTATTTCAACAAAAACCATTTTTCTTGTTAAAAGAACGTCTTGGGGAACGATTTAACATAGCAACCAAAGGAAAGAGCAAGAACTGACACCTCTTTGTTGTCAATGGTACCTGATTTTTGTGCAAAGGCAAGAAGTTTGTTAAAAATACTTTGAGGAAAGACCACAAAATTGCCAGCTTGGATAACTCGTATTTGCAAAACATAAAGTATCATATACATGTTGGATTTGACGTCAGAGAAATACGAATCCTCTCTTTTCCTGTCTCAAAACCTTCAACAATGTTTTTCTTTTAATAGTTTCTACAAAATTGTTGAAGGCATAAATTACGGGGGGGAGAAAGGATCCCTCGATTAATCCCAACTAAAGCATCGAACGTACCTGTAACAGCCCAAGCCCACTGCTAGCCGATATTGTCCTCTTTGGGCTTTCTCTTTTGGGCTTCCCCTCAAGGTTTTTAGAGTACCTCTGATCCTTCCATTAATTAGGACGGAGAAGTTGGTAGAGGAAAGGCATCCAAAAATTCATTATTTTCTTCATCACATTCCAAACCCCTTTTGTTCCATGATAGCATCAGCAAAGGACCAATCATCCTGTGATAAGTTCTCTCAAAAGTGTATTTTAAGAAAGTAGTCATCCATTGATTCTGCAGCCAAGAGAATAGCATCTATGACTTGCCTCTTGATAAAAGCCATTAGGGGTCCATCGATGATGTAGGGAGGACCTTGCAGAGTCTATCACAACCAAAACCTTACACATGATTAGGGGTCCATCGATGATGTAGGGAGGACCTTGCAGAGTCTATCACAACCAAAACCTTACACATGACCAATGACCTCGTAAAGACATGACCGGAGTAATGAAAAAGGGATGGTTGATACCTAGCCACTTCTCTTGTAAGCAATGCACTCCAAGGGGACACATCTCAAGAGTGCCTTTCTTAGGCCATTATGAATAAGATTAGGCCATCTTCACTCCCTTGTTAAGATGCCTTTTTTAAATAGAAACCGAACTTCATCCAAAAAGTGAAGTCCAAAACAAGAGCTGAATATGCAACAGCAATCCAAGAGGGCTGGCTGTCTGGGGACAGGTTATGGCAGGGACCTCTAGGCTTGCTTCTAATGAGATTGGGTGAGGATTGAATATGCGAGACGGTAAAGAAGAGGGAATCAGAGAATATGCGAGACTGTAAAGAAGAGGGAATCGGAAAGGGGCTCATAAACCAAGCTGACTTCTCTTGACCCTAACATAACGCTCTAAACAAGATAAAAAAAAAAGGGGCTCATAAACCAAGCTGACTTCTCTTGACCCTAACATAACGCTCTAAACAAGATAAAAAAAAGAGCTTCAATCCAATATATAAGACAGAATAATTACAAAAGTCTTTAGAAATGGACACTTAAGAGGCATTTAACTTGGCAAGAGGCCACCATGTTAAGATAGTCAAACCAAGACTGAGCAGACACTTAAGAGGCATTTAACTTGGCAAGAGGCCACCATGTTAAGATAGTCAAACCAAGACTGAGCAGAGGAACACCCCGACTCATAATAAAACTCACTTTCTCCTCCAGGTACATTGATGACTCTCCTATTTAGTCATTTCTTAGCTTATTAGACAATGCATCATTCATCATTATTGTATACTCGTTCATACATTTGCACCGCCTCCGATAGATAATCCCCTCTATAACTTTTCTAAAAACTTGCTCATTAAAACAAGGATCCTAAACTAAAGAACCAAAGAGCTTTTCACAACAAGTAACTTCCTTGGTCTGAAAGATTTGAAGCAACTCGCCTTGAGGCCTCTTCTTGAAGTTCCATCTCAAAGCCTTAACCGGAGTGTTTCCGTATATCCTTCATTATCTCTTATTTTGGATTTTGATTTGTAGTTTGGCTTTCAATTGTTTTGATTTGTAATTTTGTCTTTTTATTCACTCCATTGTGGGAGTTTGTATCTTTGAGCGTTAGTTTCTTTTCATTATTTCAACGAAAAGTTATGTATCTCGTTAAAAGAAAACACCCCTAAATAATGAGAGGGAGTAGGTAAGATTTTTTCTTAATACAACCTGAATAAGGGGGAGTCTACCCATTTGGAAAAAGAAACATCTCTTCCATGAGGATAGCCATTTTTGCACCGTCTCTAAGCCCATGTCCCGAAAAGACACATTCTTCAAATTGTAGCCAAAGAGAAAGAACCAAGCACGAAGTGGAAAAGGAACCTACCTCAGAGCCCACTCGAAAGGCCCACTTGTCCGCTTAGGAGTTAATGCCTAACACAAGACTTTTGTCCTTGTTAATCATCAAGTCCATAATAGACTCAAAAAAAGATAACCTACGTTTGAGATTAACAAAACAACCTTCCTTCCCTAACAAAATGAGGTGTGATAGGGTCAAGCTCCCACTCGCCACCTGTACCTCTCAAAAACATTGTCAACCACACCTCTCGAGACAATCCTACTTAAGATATCCGTGAGAGAGGTTCACCTTATCTCAAACATCTTGAAGCATGCATCCTACCTCTCGGATAGAATATCTAACTGTTCTCGTGCAATTCCAGAGAAACATCTTGAAGCATGCATCCTACCTCTCGGATAGAATATCTAACTGTTCTCGTGCAATTCCAGAGTTAGGATCTCCTTCCTACATTGCCTTAGCTTCAACTTGACATCTTTAAGCTTTCAAAACGCAACTCTCCCCTGTTCTCTTTACGATCTCTTTAGTGGTTTCTCTTGACAAGACATATCTTTGAATTGGAATGTTTTTATAGTTCCAACAAGCGCGCTTTTGGAGCTTGCATCACTTGAGCATTAAGCTCTTTTCATTTTCCAAATGAAAGTTTCGTTTCTAATTGAAGAAAAAAAAAACATAAGTCTATCCGTCCTTGAATATTGAAGTCATTCCACTATAACTTGAAAGACGAGATAATGATGGATTTCGCAACCACAGGCTTTAAAACCGAAGGAGTTCAAGAAGCCAATGAAAAGATGTGATAAAAAAGAACGGTTCTTACTCTTCTAGCGGCTAGAAACTAGAACTCTATGAGAGTAGGAATAGACTAACCCTTAAGTTAAATCAGGTTAATATATCATTTCCAAGAGGTCTTTGATTCAATTCTATATCAATTGTTCAATTCGTTAAAAGAAAACACCTCATATTTGAGGTCCTCATGTGGCTAAGACTTTCCTTCATCTCCCACATCCTCCCGACCCTCCCAAAAATGGTGTTTAAGGCAAAACGTCAAATCATAAACATCATAGCCTTACCTTTCTCCATCTGCCAAAGAAAATAGCACTAGAAATGACCTCACCAAAATTCATCGAATAAAACTTCTAATCAATCCTAATCACGACCTTTGACAGAGATGACATCGATAAAATACCCGGAAAAAAATTAATCAGTGAAGTTCGCACAATGCGCACGACAACATACAATAGCATTCTACGAAAAGTAATTTTGTTAAAAAAATCCATGTTATTAAATTGGATGATCACCTGTTCTTGCACTCCTTCGAACTTGCAATTGCGAGCAAGCATCACCAAAGCATGCACGCCACCGGCTAAAGCAACTTCAGTACTACACCTATCGTCAGCTGCCAAATTTGCTAGTGCACCCGCAGCACGTTCCTGAATGTACACGTGAAACAAAATGAAAACTTATAATTTTTTAGGAATTTAATTCAGCGGTAGAAACATGTAACGCTCAACAAGGATGTTAAGGGAATAGCCAGAGACACAGATATCGAATAATGAAATGGAGAAACTTACAAGAACTCCATCACCACCAGAAGACCATTTAAATATCAAATCAACTAAAGCTCTTACTCCGCCAGCCTCAGCAATCGCACCCTATTTTTATTTTAAAATATCGGTTGTCAAAACTCAAAGTTAAGAATCTCCAACTATGGTCTTACCGACAAATAAATTAACAAATATTAGACCTTGTGTTCCTCGCCAACCGAAAGATTCCACAATCCTCCAGCAGCCTCTTCTGCAACGAGCCTGTTCATGGATCTTGCAAGACCAGCAAAGATTCCACAATCCTCCAGCAGCCTCTTCTGCAACGAGCCTGTTCATGGATCTTGCAAGACCAGCAAGAATATCGATTCCACCTTCTTCGGCTACAGCCTTTGCAACATTAGAGTTCACGGACAAGTTTGCTATGGCCTGCACAAGCAAAATCTTCGGCTACAGCCTTTGCAACATTAGAGTTCACGGACAAGTTTGCTATGGCCTGCACAAGCAAAAGAATATCATAATAAAGTTGTTTCTGTAATAGTTATGAGCAATGGGTACAAAGAGAATCGTCCATATCTCAGTTATCGTCGAAATCTAATCAACCAACAAAAATTCTGTAACGTGCGTATTTGCCTGTTCATATCTCAGTTATCGTCGAAATCTAATCAACCAACAAAAATTCTGTAACGTGCGTATTTGCCTGTTAGTGTATCCATATGAAATTTACCTTTGCTGCCTCGGATTGGAGCCCTTCCCTCCAAGACTTAGCCAAATTTAGGAGGAGACGTATTCCACCACACCGCATAACTTCTTCTGCCCTTCCAGAGTCGATACTAGCATTTTCGTCATCGATGACAACAAAAGTTGCAAGGCCTGTTGCTGCCCTTTCTTGAACATCTTCTTGTGAACTCTGCATCAAACTAAGTAATAATGCTGCTCCTTGATTAAGCCAAAAATTATCCAGACCGTGCTGATTGCTCTCAGCGATACGCAGGAGATTATGAGATAATATCCACTCGATCCACATCATTATCTCGTCCAAACTCTTATTTTTATTCTCCAAATTTCTCCAATCTAACAACATATTTTCACCTTTCTTTGTAGTATCGACAAATAAAGAAGTTATTTCCTTCACAACATCGGTGAAAAGGGCAAGCAATAATTTGCCTTTATATTTGCTGACAGTGAAGCCAGCATCTTCTTCTAAAACCGAACAATTGAAGGCACACAAGATTTTTAAGCTCTTAGATGACGACATTAATCTTGATACAGCAACAGGACCAACATCCGTTCGTGAGACATCTAAACCAATCAAATTAGGCAGCTTGTGCCACTGATGTGAAACCGCACCCCACTTCATATTTGTGGTACCTGCAACCGAAAGAAAACGAACCGATGCTACATTTCCAAGGGCCATCTCATCTATCTTCAAACAATCGATGAACCCAATATCGAGCAAATTTGGGCAATGCTTTGATAAAGCATTCAGAGCCTCAGCATTGACATCTATAATTCCAGAAAGCCTAAGCTTTTTCAACTTAGGACAACAAATGGCTATTGTTTTTATAGCATCACTACTAATCCTCTCACAGAAATCTGGCCCAAGCTGGAGGCTTTCAAGCGCCTCATGTCGAGCTGCAATGGCAGAAAGTGTAGCATCAGTAATTTTTCGACAGTAATCACCGCTTATTTCACGCAAATTCTTCGCAAGAAGAAGAATTATCGCATCGGCCGACTCTGCTCCACGAAACCTAAGCTTCACGCAAATTCTTCGCAAGAAGAAGAATTATCGCATCGGCCGACTCTGCTCCACGAAACCTAAGCTTCTGAAGATTATTGCATCTAGAAGCAAGGGAAGAAGCCATTGCAGCATCAATTTTATGCGCTCGAAGATCAAACGAAGTCCACAAGCACGAAGATAAACCAAGAACTCTCCATGTTCTACACGTCGACTCGAAGATCAAACGAAGTCCACAAGCACGAAGATAAACCAAGAACTCTCCATGTTCTACACGTCGATGACAAATTCGCCCGGTCACGATAATTCAAACAAGAGAACAGCTGAATGACTGTATCATCAGGCAAACAAGTCCAATCCACTGTCTGTTTCAAATCCAAATCAGCTATCTCACATTCAATTTCAAGGTAGCTTGGCAAAATCAGCTTCTCCTTCCCTTTTCTACAAATCAGCTATCTCACATTCAATTTCAAGGTAGCTTGGCAAAATCAGCTTCTCCTTCCCTTTTCTACTCACCTTCCTACGCACCCTACGATTCATGTTCTACCCAATCCCAGAAACTCAGATACCGCTACCCCTGACCTGACAACACAATGGAAACACAGGCAAACACGAAACCATACTCTTTAAACCCAAATCCACCCCTGACCTGACAACACAATGGAAACACAGGCAAACACGAAACCATACTCTTTAAACCCAAATCCCCAATTCTTTAACGCGCTAGCCAACGCGAACCCTATGCTATTACTTCAAAACCCTGGCCCTCCGAAGAACCAAGTTATGATTACCCCCACAATTGATTGAAAACTCTTAATGTGAACCAAAAAAAAACCCCAAGTTCGTCAAAAACAACAAAGAACAAAATTAATCCGCGTTATAGATTGATTACATGAACGAAAATCGCCGGCCCTTAAACCTGATAGAGTTTTTGCTATCTGGGTGCGCCGGTAAACCCTGAAATCTTCAACTTTTACAATGAATCACGACACATTCAATATGGTTGATTGAAGAAAGTCGGAATTGAGCAGAAAATATTGCAAAACGAAGGAGGAAGAAAGGGAGAGAATTCAGGTGATGTTTTGAAGCTCAAACCCTCAAAGCATATGAACACCTCTCTCCCCTAATTTACTTTGAACTGCTATCAACAAATTAACCACAAGCATATCCAAACAGAGAGAATAAATATGAGAAAGAAGGTCAGAGAAGAAAAATGATGTGAATGAATGAATGAATGAATATCAACTACATAGCTAATCCGGGAAGAGCACTCACCCTTCTATATATATAAATATCATGTGTTTTATGCTGTCCTTTGTATTTGTACCACATGGGTTCCCAGATTTTGATTTTTTTTCTTCATGGGCAGGCCTCAACCTTCCCAATCTTTTAGTGACATTTTTAAATTTTAATTGGGTTTAGTTTAAGAACCCTATTATTAATTCTCGGGTTTTGTTTTCGAGTTCCACGTGATATTATCGTTACAAAGATTCGAACATTTAACTTCTCGGGTTGATATTAATTATTTGTGTTGAATATCATATTCTTTGTTAGAACTAGTTTAGTTTGATGTAGTTTGTGTCTTTTATTCGATATGCTCGAATTTCACATTAACAAAACACGAGTGTAAGATTTATGAAAGTCAAAAAAATAAAACTTTAATGGAATGAGAATCAATGTAATTGTCATGCTTTTTCGTGGGAATCGTTGGACTTGAGTTTTAGGTCAAGATTTCGTCGCTCTTTCTCGTGGTTTAACTATTCATTATCGAGTATTATCATATAACCAACACATGAATGACAATTTAATTGGCAACAACATTGAGTGCATTGTTCTCATCAACCTCTTGGGCGTATTATTTGATAGAACCTTACAAATAGGTATCGTAGTTTGTTAAAACTCTCGTAAGTAGTTTACGTGGGAACTATGAGAACTAAATTTTAACTTTTTTAAGATCATAGAGATCAAATATTAAGTAGTTTACGTGGGAACTATGAGAACTAAATTTTAACTTTTTTAAGATCATAGAGATCAAATATATAATTTAACGTGATTAAAGTTATAATGTCTTAATTAGTTGAGTTATTTGATCAATGATAAGCTCTAGTCACTTGGAAGCCATGAACGCTCGAAGGGACATACAAACCGAAATGATCTTTGCCATGGTTGTAAGGTCACTTGGAAGCCATGAACGCTCGAAGGGACATACAAACCGAAATGATCTTTGCCATGGTTGTAAGTGAAGCTATGATTTGAATTGTGCTCCAAGGTCGGCTAATGGAAGGAAAAAAGGTTACATGCAATAGGTTCGGTAGAATAGTAGAGCAAATACAAGTATTGATCATCCTTTCAGACCAACTACTGATCAAATAGGTTCGGTAGAATAGTAGAGCAAATACAAGTATTGATCATCCTTTCAGACCAACTACTGATCATCGTCTTGGTAAGCTATTGCCTCACCGACTAGCTAATTAGATGTGAGCCCCTCTTCGAGCGGATTCCTCCTTTTGCTCCTCAACATACGCACCGACTAGCTAATTAGATGTGAGCCCCTCTTCGAGCGGATTCCTCCTTTTGCTCCTCAACATACGGGATATTAGCAGTTGTTCCCCTCCCATGATTTGATCTTTAATCTAATAATCTATTGCGGTAAAACATCCATCTATTGGGTTCCTTCTTTTTTGGCCGAATCCTAATTTCGTTTTGCTTTTCTCGATCGTTGAGCATGATCGACTCCACTATTTTCTCTGCCTCCCCGGAGAATTTCGTTTTGCTTTTCTCGATCGTTGAGCATGATCGACTCCACTATTTTCTCTGCCTCCCCGGAGCTTCCATTTCTTCTATCGCGCAACTAACTAACTAGCCAAAGAGAGAGGGAGAGGGATCATGTCAATCAATTTGTATATACATTTTGTTCATCCTATACTTGCAAGCTTAGCTTTCTTAGCCAACATCTCCGGTTTCAGTCTGGATACATTTTGTTCATCCTATACTTGCAAGCTTAGCTTTCTTAGCCAACATCTCCGGTTTCAGTCTGGTGTTAATAGAAGTAGCAAAGGAAAAGGGTAAGGCTTTTTTCATCGTAATAGTGGGCGAGTCTCATGAGATTTGTGTCGTTCGTTGGAATCAAATTCAGGTCGCAGTAGAAGGATCCGAATCCATACACTCGATCCATTGCCAAGGGATCGAGAACCAACAAACATGCATGAGAGAGATCGAGTTTGAAATTTAAAGGTTTGGGAATATGTTTTATAGAAGTTTTAGACTTAGATATATTCCTCCCTTCTTAAAAAAAAAAAAAAAAAAAAAAAAAAAAAAAAAAAAAAAAAAAAAAAAAAAACCAGGANTCTTGTCCCAATAGACTCGTCTTAAGATACTAAAGATTTGCTAAATAAATCGAAGTCAACATAGGAAAATTTGATGTTTTTAAGGAACATAAAAAGTATCAAACACACTAAGTAGTTCGTTAGGACTTCAATTTAAGTATTATTAAATTTTATGACCATACTGAGCTGATTGAACACATATAAACATGTTGAACTATTAGGATGCTCAATTTCAATGTAACAAAACGAACTCCAAAATGAACAAAACTTAAAACATGACTGGATGTCCATGTTTAGATCAATATACCATATTCCTTAAGATGAAGTGTCCATGCACGAGATGTTTATTGCTGTTATACAAGGACAATCAGAGATTCGCCAACTAATCTCTAATCATAAACTCGGCTCGATCGTCAAGAGTCCGATTGACATTTTAGAATTGGCTATATTTTATGTATACTTTGTGGGACTATTAGGGGTTTTCTATTTCTTTTAAGTGAAGTTGTCCGTTCGGTGGGGGTTGGTGTAGTACTTTTATGAGTTGATATAACAAGGATTGATCCTTGGAAAAGCATGAACTCAATGAAAACTTTATGAGCGCCTTGTGGATGCGGTTATGTAGTTTCCCACTACTCCCTAATCGTGAGCTTGTTCAGATGATAGCAAGGGATTAAACACGTGCGTGCACATCTAAAACTCAATTAAATTAGTAATAAAATTTTAGTTTTACAAAAAATAAACAAAGACCACCAAAATACAATATTACAAGTTCAAACTATTTAAAATACACAAATTACAAAAAATAAACAAAGACCACCAAAATACAATATTACAAGTTCAAACTATTTAAAATACACAAATTTATGGTTTAAAGGACAACTACGGAAGAAATTCTAGATTTAAATGTGACGGTACTCCCTATAGTGAATAGCCCACATGCGCTACCTCGACCGCTACATCAAGGTTCACTTGAAAAGAAGATTAAGCTACTCAGGTTGAATAGATAAAATATACTCAATAAGCAAGTTGTTGGATAGTTTTTCTCTTAGATGGATCAATTGAGAGATACAAGGCTCGACTATAGTTCGAGAGTTATCTCAAGGATATGAACTAAACTATGATGAAACATTTAGTCCAGTGGCAAAGATCATCACACAGTTCCTACTAGCTCTTGCGGTAAGGAAAAAGTGAAAACTATGGCAAATAGATATGAAGAGTGGTTTCTTACGCTAAGAGTTGGATCTGGAGATCTACATGAACCAACCAAAGAGATTTTAGAATGCAGTTGAAGCCATGAATCGAGTTGGATCTGGAGATCTACATGAACCAACCAAAGAGATTTTAGAATGCAGTTGAAGCCATGAATCGGTACATGTAAAGTTCAAAGAAGCCTTATTCAGATGTGGTTCAACGAATCCTAAGATATGTCAAAGATACAATCGACTACGATCTTTTGTACAAAAGAAGCGTAAACAGCAATCTAGTTGGATAATGTCAAAGATACAATCGACTACGATCTTTTGTACAAAAGAAGCGTAAACAGCAATCTAGTTGGATACTGACCAGGATACCCGAAGATCAACTACAGGGTATATGTTCAAGTTTGGTTCGAGAATAATTTCTTGGTGCAATAAAAGACAACCAACAATATCATTGTAAAAACAAAAGCGGAGTCAGAGCAACAACCGCAGAACAACTCAAGAAGTATGTCATTGATACTCTTAATGAATGATTTGCAACAGAAAGCGGACTATCTGATACCACTTAATTGCGACAACCAGTCTATGGTTTGCCTAATAGAAAATCTAATGTTTCGTGCTAAAACAAACCATGTGAAGGTGCACTACCATCTTATTAGAGAGAAAGTCTTGAAGGAAAAAATCGGATGATAAAGTGGCAAACTTACAAAAGGGTTGATACTCGCAAATATTAGTCTTAATAAATGTGTGAATGTTTCCCACAAAAGAGTTGTGTTCAACACTGACCGAGATAGAGCTAAGCTATAAGAGAACCTGATGGCTTCCAACCCATTATCCTAAAATGAGCTTAGGTGACTCAAAATAGCCTAGGAGCACCTGTGACTGAGTATGAATATAAACGACGTAACAAACTAAATGAATGTAAGATTTGAGAACGAAGTAAGAACCTACAAGCAAGTTACTCAATGAGTATGTTAGGATAGACCTAATATCCATCTTTTACAACTAACACAGTCTCCTGTTCTTGGAG